TTTCATCTATTCCCTTCATCATTCTACACTATACAAGTACCAAATCAGTCTTTTAAGTAATGTTAAAGTATACATTGTACTAGCTTTATCAAATCCTGAAACAGAGCTTTGTTATGTAAACCAACACTTTCATAATTGAATATACAGGGGAGGTTTCTTTGGCTGTACCCAGATTTTGAGAGGATCAGCTGGTGATGAAATTGGACCTTTTGCATTAAAAGGAGGGGACAATTAGATTTAATTCTGTTTTTCTGAAAGTATGTATCTTACAGCAAAGAGGTGTTTTACCAAATCTTTCAGATAGAGAGAACTGAATTTTGAGAAATGTCCAAGTTCTTAATGCTGCCAAAACTTGCATTCTGAAACTCTGACTCATAATCTTAATCTTGGATTTGGCTCCTTCAGATATACTGCCCTAACTGCAAATCTGTCATGTAATGATCCAAATACCTTCGTAAAATCCTATTTCCTTTTAAAAATAAGAAGAGAACAAATAAGGAAGTGTTGAAGCATTTTTGCAAAAAGCAAATAAAAAACTTTTTGGCCAACCCTAGTGATTATGCCATTGTATTTGGTGTGTCTAAAGGACCAAAACCACATTATACAATTGCCTATTAGAAGAAGCATTCTGCTCTATTGCAGTTGTTTGGAATCTGAAATAAACTCAGTGATCTAAAGTATCTGTGGATATTTTCTGAAGATTAGTTTTCTGTTTCAATAGATGAGTAAAATGCTAAGCTCTGTTGAATCACCCTTCTTTGAATCTGTTTTCCAGATGATGAAGGTTCAGCAGTTCTTCAGAAAGCGGAGGTAGAAATTATTGACCAGACATTATGTCATTCCACATATGGGATTATCACAGCTAGGATGTTTTGTGCTGGGCTATTGTCTGGGAAAAGAGATGGGTGTAAAGTATGTATCTCAGCACACTTTGCATAGAGCGTATCTTGTCTTTCATTGTTGCATGATGAGGTGTACGAATTGAGTGGCAGACCACTTTGTGGTCAGTATGTTTCAGTTCTGAAAAAGAGCAATATAAGAATTGTCTGTCAGCAAGTCTCTCCTCTGGGTGCTTTCAGAGTTCTGCTGCTTTATGTGCACAAGTAGCATCACTAAGTTTCACTTGCAGGCCAAAAGCCAATCAATTTGCAAGTCCCAATAACAACTTGAAGTCAGGCAATTTTTGGCATAAGAAGCTCTCAGTTGAAGAAAAAAATTATAAACTAGCTTGTCTCTTTTCAGGATCCCTCCCTTCCAACTTGGAGTGTATAATGAGACAATGATAATTGGGCATAAATTTTCCAAATGTAAATTATTTCTGATCTAAAAAAGCTGAAAGATAATAAATGTGAGGTTCTGAATTTACTTCTAGAGAATGGTAGTAAAACTCTGCGTGTGTCTGTGTGTGTGTACATACAATATGTATTTATATAACATTTCATATTACAGATGTTATATTGAACTTACATAAACCTACTACTAAAATAGTAGTTAATTTTCTGCTAAAATAATAATAAAACCATTTTTTAATTATGAGATCTGGAATGTTCTAGCTTTCACTGATCTATGTAGAAGTCAGAGAGACTACAATGGGTCTCAGGCAAGGAATGTCTGAGGGTTTTGAGGGAGTATAATGCACCAGCTGCTTTTTAGAGGTTAGCGAGACCATTGATATTAAGCATTGTTTTCACTAACTGGAGAATTTGTTTCTGCAGCTACTTTGTTTCTGTAAGGCCACTCAAAATATAGCCAAGCAAAAGCATAATTTACAGGTCTTCTGGCTGTGTTTTTGTAAGGGCAAAGGATTTGTGGCTGTGTCTGGCAGTTAGAGCTGATCAAAATGTGTGAAAAATGCTGGTGTTCCACTTCTCTTTTGTCCTAGGAATTAAAGAAAAAAATTGAAAATTTGACCTCAGTAAATGTAAAATCTTAATTGTCAAGGAAGGAAAAAGTTTTCTTCTAAATTCTTGACATTTTTGTCAGGCAATTCAAGTTAATCCTTCTTTGAGCAGAGGTGCCACCTTGGCACCTAGGAAGAGGTCCCTTCCAACCTGCCTTCCTAACATGCTATAACACTAAGAGAAAATAGTTTTCTAGCTCTGTCAAAATGTATGTCTAGAAGGAAGGCACTTCTCTTGCAAAACATTGAATTTTGCCAACTCACTTTTTGCTTTTGTAAATTGCTTCTTGCATTCAGTGTTTTGGTAAGGTTTAACTTGCTACTTGGTGTCTTTTTCAGAGATATTGTGTGTACAGCAGATTCTTACAGGAAAGTATAAGCTTGGTCCAAGCAATTTTCCCCAAATGGTGGCACTTTTTTTTTTTTTACCTGAAGCTCTGCCAATGTATTTGTACAAGAACATCCTATAAAAGGAGAGTCGTAGTTGCTTTGTCCTGTATTACGGCATTATGACATAGTGTATAAAACCTTGAAGTCTGTTACAGACTTCACTTTAACTGATCTAATTGCAAAGACATTGCATACACCTGAACTTGTTAGTTGTTTGTTGACTTGTATCTACTAGAGGACAACACTTAGGCTCTTTTTCCTTCTTTAAACTAAAAAAAAACACAAACACAAAACAATTGAGGGATTCAATCTGTTTCCATTTACCTTTAATTTGAGAGAAGTTATATAATTATTAAATATTTTATTTTATTTATTGTATTTATTTTTTTTTAAAAGCTTACTATTTTTTGAGTTGTTTGTGTGTAATCTATGAATTTACATACATAGCAAGGAGCAGATTTGGGGTCTAGCTGTGAGTTTGAAGCTAGGAAAAAAAAATTTGAATTTCAAATCTAGTCCATGAAAAGTAATATCTTTAGTGTATTTAGAGAGGGAGAGTTAGCCTTCTTTCTTGTGAAAGAGCAAACTTTGGTACAACTGTGCAATCCATCTGTTTACAAATAACAAAGTATCGATGGTTTGAACTATGTGAATATGAAATTATAATCACTGTTGGAATTGCTCAGGCAAAACATCTGCTGTGGATTTTCCCCTAGTTTTTATACTTCACTGTAAACACATACAACTCAATCTGTTATTTTTAGGGTGATTCCGGCGGACCATTGTCGTGTCAAAGGAATGGAGACGGAAAATGGTTTTTGACTGGCATAGTGAGCTGGGGTTATGGATGTGGAAGACCAAATTTCCCAGGTGTCTACACAAGAGTGTCAAATTTTGCCCCATGGATTCACAAATATGTGCCTTCAGTCTTGTAATGTGAAAACTGTTTTTGTGGAATAAAACATGTCCTGGATATCTCAATTAAAAATCATATTTGGAAAAACTGTTCAGTGGTGGAATTTCTTTGCGGGTCTCTTGCTGATTATGGAATTCACATATGGAAGTAATAATTAGCCTTTTTTCAAGCCTTCATGAATAAGGAAGAGGCTGTTCCTTGTGGTGGTTGTTCTATGCAGATGTCTGGAGACACAGGAGGAGGTGCAATAATAAACTTCTGGCACTTTACATTCATTTTCCAGGTGCCACCTAAGTGTAGGTGCAATCCTCTGTCAGGAAGCTGAAGATACAATTGGTCACATAAAGAGAGAGCTTAAGGCTTAGTCACTCCTTTCTTCTGAGATGTGTAAGGCCAATACAGAAGTAACTGTGGAGCAGCAATCAACTAGGTGCACTCTTGCAAATACTACTTTCCCTGTCTCCTCCACCAAGAACAGCTGACAGGCAACAAGGAAGAATAGAGGTTGCAGAAGGTGAACTCAATCCTTTCAAATCTGTAGGGCCCTAATTTTTTTAAGATCAGAAATTTTGAGTTGAGTAGTGATTTGCTCCATGCTTATTCCTCCTCCAGCCTTCATTTAATTAACTGCATGATTTGGAGCTACTAACTCTTTAATTTCCTGCCTTCATTTCTTCATATTCAAGTTCATCCACCTAAGAATTTGAATTCTTTAGCTTCAGGCAATCTTAAGAAGGTGAGTAAATATAATGATGTAAGTCATTGCAATGATCTTGTCCTTGCCAAGTAAGGCTGATGTTTCTGAAAGGTCCTGATACAATTTTTATGCAAAAGTGGTTTGTTTCTTCTAGGCTTTTTCTGTGTTTTTTTCTTTTCGGTAAAGGGAGGGACAATCAGCAGGTTCTGTGTGTAGCAGACAGGCTGTTAGAAAAAAAAAAAGGACTTGAACAAAGTCATCTGTCTGCAGCTGTAGTTTGAATTTCTGAGCTCTGAGGATTGCCTTCCAGTTAATCCCTTTTGCAGTCTGTGTGATCTGTGTTGGGGTTTGTTTCTTCCCTTTGTGTTTTTTTCGGAGGGTGGGGTTTGTTTGTTTTGGGTTCTTTTTGTGAGGCTCAGGTTTCTTGGGCCTGTTTTAGTTTTCAAGGTTTTGTTCTTTTTGCTGTCTCTCTCAACATGTATAAAACATGTTATTATCCCTCTCACATCCTTGATTTTCTTATTTTACATGCAGAATATGTCAACTTGTTGATTTGCTGACTTAAAACTAGTTTTTCTTTCAAACAGGAAATGTGAACATGAATTACTTTGCAGTTACAGTTATTCTTTGGTACCAGCTTGAGACTGGAAAGTTCAAGTGGTCTGTGGAATTGAGCATTTCTTCTCTCTTCGGTATTTCTGTGGATTCCACTGGACGTTTATTAGAAGTTGCCTCGTTTATGTTGCTCTGGGATTTTTTTATCTGTAAATTGCTTGCATGACCTTTCCATTGTATAATGAATTATTTCTGTACTCTATTATTTCTGAAAGAAGCGACCTGTTTTGAAATGGTGGGATCCATATCCTACTTAGCCAGTTAGGCAAACAAAGAGTTACAGTGATGGTAGCTTTTCCTCCCAACCTTCTTTGATCACAGATCAGCTGGCTCCAACTTCAAGCGATGTGGCAAAGGGGAAATAAGAGATGCCCCGGGTGTGTGGTGGGGAGAGTAGCATGCTATTCAGTTCTGTTTCAGAAGTGAGGGTTGTTTAGGGTTTTGCTAGTAGGTTTGTCAGAAGGTGTTTGTGTCCCAGCATCATGCTACGGGCTCTCCCCTCCAGCCGGACTTCTGTGTACAGCATTCCAGCTCCAGACGCTGAGCGGGCTGCAGGGCAGGTAAGAGGCATCAGCTAAGCTTTATAGTAGGAACACAGTAAAAGATCTCCTTGTCCACTCTGTGTGCATTGATCTCTGTTCTTCATAAATTGCTCTTAACCAAGGTGATAATAATTTCCCCACACACACATTTCCATAGATTGAAATGTATTAAGCAAGCAAGTAGCCAAGAAATCTGTGGGTTTCACGGGTGATGTAGCTGATAACATGAAAGATATTATCTCAATTTTAATGTCTTTAAAACTAAAGAGTAAATATACTAAAACATAATACAATAGCTCTTCTTCGTTGCCTTACTAATTGATGCCTTCCTGTGTCATTCTCTAGGAAAGTCCACATGTTTGCTACTACCCATCCTACCAAGATGACTTATGTCAAAAGTATCATGTCTTCAAAAGGATGAAGTTGTCTTTCTGGAGGAGACGGCTTCTAGGAATATTATCTGTAGTTTCTTTAACAGTTACAGTAATCGTGCTAGTCCTGCACTATTCTTTCTGTAAGTGTTACCCATCTCATCCAGACCATGCTGGGTTCACATTCTGCGCTGTGAAAAGCTCTGCACTAAGCAGCTGAGCACATAATGTGCACCTAAGCTACTTGGCTTTCCCTTCTCCTTCATGTCTTTGCTAAAGGAACAAAATGCACAATACTTAGCAGTTAATAGCTGCACAAGAATATTGAAGGTATGCATTTTATCTCAATTGCTTGACTCTGTTTGTGAATACCATCATTATTATAACTGTCATCTTTCCCAAGAACCTACAGGAATTTGATGTCTGTCTTTTATTCCCCTTTTCCAAAAAAACAGGACAGGTACCTAACTTACATATATACCTTCCCAAATCTCAACACATAGCCATTAAAACCATACCTCTTCAGGAGATTAGCACTGCAAAAAATGGAAGTTTAATAATTAAATCTTCCAAGTAAAAATGCCTGTCTGAACCTGTACCTCATTTCTCTCCTTTCCTGCTGGGCATTACTCCGTCAGTGAGAGTGACTCAGCATTCTGGCTATTACTGCATGTTTCTCCTAAGAATTAATACCTACAGGTACCAAGGACAAATACATGCTTCTGCAAGCCTCTTGTTCTGGAAGCTTTTCTATAATGTTATTAGGTGTGCTAATTTTTTAACCTTTTTTTTTTTTTCCTCAGCTCCAGCTTTCTCCTTCATTTATATTGGTGGAAGCCTAGAAATTCCTAATTTGACTTACACCAATGACCTCAATGATCCAACATCACAGAAATTCCTCCTGCAAGCAGAAGCAATCCAAAATTATGTAAGTTCCCACATAAATAGAGCAATAATTTATAAATATTTTTACAGAATCAGACTGGGAATGAGGGGGGGATTCCAGATAGTCATAACTATTTTTTTTCCTTCAAAATTGCAAGTTTAAAGCTAGCATGTGCCTTGACAGTTTTCAGATTTCAAAACATAGCTAGACAGATGGGGCTGTGAGTCTTATAGTAAGGTCAATGTTTTCTAGATAATAAACCTGTGGGTTTCAAGGTTATGGAAAAAATACTCAAAGGAAAGAGGAGAGTGTTTTTGTTTTACTTCATTCAAACTCTCTTCCTTCTACTTTTTTCCCTTTATTTTTTTTTTAATTATATCTCCAATTCAGTGCTTGACTTTTTATTTTGTTTTCCTTTATCACTCACAACAATGCTTTCTTTCTTGCACTTCTTATGAGTTTCTATTTGTGAGATCAATACTGTTTCCTAGGTACACGTGAACAGCAGCCTTAAACACAAAGCAGTTCTCTGTTAGCCTGTATTTCCCAGAAGAGCTAATCTAGTGCCTCAAAGCTGCTTTGTGCACTGCCAATACAAGTTGCTTATGCCCAGATTACGTGGCAGAAATTTAAAGACTGAAACAAAAATATAAATGTATTATTAAAGTGTTGTTTTTCATGGCTAGTTCAATGGTCTTGAAATGTGATGTGACTTGGAAGCAATTTTTTATTCTAGTGGAATTTAATGCAAAATTATGAGCCTTATTTGATACATTTTGTGAAAGTGATGGACAGTGCTTTTGATATATGTGGGGTTGTGAGGAAGAGGAAAGGAAGAAAAAGACAAATGCTTTATAACATAAGAGATTATATTGGCAGTAAAATATAATGCTTTGCATTTTCTTTTACCACCATTTGATTGTCAGTTGGCAGAAACATATGAGTCTTCCTTCTTGGGAAAGTACTATTTGAAGTCTGTGGTGGCTGCTTTCAGGTAGGTACTGTTTCAACATGTGGTATAAATTTAAATTACTCAGCTGTGTTTGTCTTTTTTTTTTTCATGCATTTTAAATGAGTTACCTGGAAGAACATGCAGATCTCTGTAAGAGAATTAAAAATATAGAAATGCATTTAAGTATATGAGTTAAGCCAATAGAGTGATTTCTGTCTTGCCCTGTAGAATCGGTGAGAGAAATGAAGTCTAATTAATTGTTCCTTGTTTTATGGATTGTTTTATAGTCTATTCATCTATTTCTAATTTTTGAAATAACAATTTGGCACTTGCAGAATGTTATTTTGGTTTTGTCTATTCAAATGAAGTTCCTTTTTAACCCATCAAAACAAAAATTAAATGTATAATTTTGGGCAAGACATTCTGCTTAAGCTCCTGGTGAGAAGGATAAATACACTGAGCAGATGGCTACTACTATCCTGGTAGTTTCTGAAAACTCTGACCGGTCAGTCCACAGGCCATTTTGAAAGGAGGAGTGTGATGGATTTTCTCTTTGAATCACCGAGGTCATACTTTCTATATGTACTCATAAAGATCGTTTCTTTCAGCAACAATTGTATGAAACGTTGTATCAAAGTATGGGCATAAAATTGTGTTGTCATAGTGTGCTAACCTCAGATAAAAAAAAAAAAGTACAATGTTTCTGGAGCTGTAACATGATCTTAAAAGTGTATAATTATACAGCAGGGATGGAAACATCTGATTCCATAAAAATTATTGCAAGGATTTTGTGAGGTGTAGTTTTCAGTGTTAGTGTGTAACCTTTTAAGCAGCATATTTTCGAAGTATTTCTACTGTATAGCAAAAGCAATTCTTAAACAAGAGAACTTTTTGCCACTGTGTTCAGCTGCAACTCTTTGCACAGCAGTTCAACTGGCTATGAAACTGTGCCAGCCAAAAATGTAGACCAGAGGAAACCACGTCCAAAATGGTAATTACAGTGTATTTATGATGCACTTTTTTCCTTTCACAGTGAAGGGGAATTTGGACTTCGAGCTTACTACTGGAATACATTCTGGGCACCACAAGACATAGTTGCTTCTCTTAAGAAATTAACCCCAGTGGAACAAAAAGAAATGTGTAGTAAACAGGCAGCTCACTTGTTCAGTTCTTCTGGGGAGGAAGATTTTGATCTTGTTACAATGGAGCTTTTTGGTAACAATGTACCTGTCGTTTAAGTCCTATTCTGTCTATTTTTCTTTCTCCAGTTTGTGTCTTTGACTTGTGTAGCTGATAGTTAATAAATTTCAGTTTCAGATTCCACAGAATATGATGTGATGCTAAAATCAGGTAATTATGCTTCAATCCCAACTGATACCACTATGGGGGGGGGGGATCCTGTAACAGAAAAATGGCAGTTTGCCATTTGTATCTGTAGGGCCTACAAACTAAACCAAACTAGGGAATCTCCCTGGCTTGTGTTCCAAATAGAGGCTGGATGAAAATACCTTACAGCTTTTATTCTGATGTTCTGACTAAAATGGTTGAAATTTAATAGTTCCCACTGCATTGCAATGAGCTGTGGTTCCTATCCTTGGCATCTTAAAAAAAAAAAAAAACAGCTCTACAAAATTATATATCACTTACTTATCTTGTGATTAGATAGTTTTGTAGTGATCACTCAGACAGTGTAGAGCCTTAATTCACTTTGCTTGATTTCTCCACATCAAGCACACCTTGAGATTGGCTTTGTGTACTTAGTGTTCTCATTGCATGGAGAGGGGCAAAGAGAAAATGANGAGATCGTAGCAATTGCAGCCAAATCACCTCCTGCTTGTGGAGTGTGTGATGAGCTGGTGGTGATGAGGCTTGTCCAGAGCTGGAGAAGGTGATGCAGTCTGGTAGGGAAAAGACAATAGAGTTGAAAAGGGAAGGGCAAAAAGGGATTAGAGTAGTCAAGAAGTGTGGGGAGGTGATTGTTTCTGCCTTGTTTGAAATTTTATCCAAGAACTTAATTTATCTTTCGACTTAACAGTTTTTCAGCCACTGATCTAGCTTCTTTTGTATAGCAGTATCCTTTGACCTGTATGCCAAGCCAGGTAACAACAGGACTCTAACTCTGATGAATCCCAAAAAGTCTTTTTATCAATGGAGGCTGCGAGTTCCTTCTAACTATGTGGTGAGACTGGTAGTTATCACTTTGCATGGTGTCACTCCAGAGAGCTGTGCATCACACCACTTATCAGCATATGATTTCCTTCTTCCACTGCAAAACAAGATCATTACCAGGTATGATAGAGATAGTGAAGGTGTTTTATTGAGCTGTACAGAATTTCTCTGAAACTGTACCAAATAGATAAAATGTAAGGCTCCAAACAAAACTTAATTAAAAATATTATGTCAGGCAATGAAAAGACCTTCTACAAAAGTTGGAAGGGAGCCATAAGCATCTTAAAGTGCAATTCCCTGCTCCTCATTGGACTAAAACTAAACCATATGACTAAGAGCCCTGTCCAGATACTTCTTGAACTCTGACAGGCTTGGTACCATGACCCCTTCCCTAGGGAACCTGCTATAAATTTCTGTGAGGCTTATTCTATTTTATGACTAATTTTTAATGGATTTGATTTCATACAGTTACTGTCACAACTCAAAAAGATACAGGCTTTTTATAGTATTGTATTCTATCACTTTTAGAAAATACATGTTTTATAGTAGTCCAGTTGCAAGGATTGTGCCTATGGAAGGCTCCATCCTCAGTCACCATGTAGTCCATTTGTGTAAGTAAGATCATATGATATTTAAACTTGAGGGGCCATGCCCACTTTTCAGAGTCAAATTTCATGTATGGACACAATTGAATCTGTCATCGTCAAAAAAAATAAACAAGTTGAGAATCTGAGACTGGATGGTTTCAAGAAGGGAATTTTTAAAAAGTTTTTTGTAAGAACATTCAGGAAGAGGCTAGCTGAGCATGAAGATTCAGTAGGAATCTGAAATGCACTTCTCTAGTAGTGGTTTAACTTACTTGAGTAGGTGGTCCTCTTCAGCTCTGTTAACAGACTTATTTCTCTCTTCATGCAACAAAACGTAACAGCTTGCTATTGTTGGCATGGAATGAACACATGGTTTTTGTAAGGACTTACTCTCAGACTGTAACCTAGGAAGGAGAATCCTGCTCCAGATGCTGGCCTGCATCTGTTCTGCTGTTGATTATGGATTATTGCTGCAACTGTTACTCCACTGTGCATTATTAGCAATGGCTGAGATTTTTAGGAAACACAAATGTAGAACCGTCCATGAGCATGGAAGCACCTGGAAAATGGCAAAACTGACACAGGGGTGTGATGTAACATATTCAGAGAACACTGATGCAGCGAACTGTAAGGCAAAGTTCAAGAATGTGCATTAGTGCCTGTCTATCAAAGAACCAAAACAGAATTTTGTGATTGAAATTATGTTAAATGATACCTCAACAAAAGCTGACTTTTTTTGGTTGCTTTTCTTGCCACCATAGAAAATATGTGGGTTTGCATATGTCTATTAGTTTTCTACTGGAACCAAAAGCAGCTAGTGGCTACTTAAGACAGACATAATAGAACTAACAGTAATATGTCCAATAGCCATGGCAGCCAGTAATTATGATATTTACAGCCATTATTCCCTAATGTTTAGGTCTAGGGTCACACATGGTGACTAAGACAATTCTCACCAGTTTCTGTAAATTGTGGTAGTACAGCTGTTCAGTGACAAATACTAAAGAGTGAGCAAGCTGCGATGGTGAGGTGTACTGTAAGAATAAGCATCTTATGTGGACAACTCTTCTCATAGCTTGCCCTGCTACTCTGATGATACTGTGACCAAAGGTACAGTCAGAAGATAAGCCAGGCTGTCAACAGGGCTGATCAAGATGCTGAAATATTTCCATGTTTCAGTGCAGATAGGACTCAAATAGTTATTTTATAAAGGTTTTGTCAGCTATTATGATAAAACAGATTTAATAATGTCTGCAAGAGAGGCAAATCTAGTGTCTTACATGAAATGGGAACCAGGAATAGCCTGCTGGAAAGCAAAAGACAACTATTTTCAGTTTAAGGTTCAAAAATTTTATTTTTATGTTGCCAATGTGGATCTTGGTGACAGTGGCAGGGCTGTGGTGAAAAGACTGTTACTGAGAAGTCTTGTCTTAATTGCTTTCATTTGCTGTGCAAGGAAAAGAGAAAACTGCTAGAAATTTTTAACACAGATTTATCAATTAATGAAAAGAAATCCAAAATATGCTGTGTATTTCAAAATGGAATAAACATAAAAGTGAATTTACAGATGCAAGAGATAGCATCTCAAATTCCAAGTAGAAGTAAGTTTTCAAGCTTCAAGATTATAAATTAACTCATTATTCAAGTAGAAGATCAGTAAGAATTAATAGTTTCCATGCATAGACCTTCACATTTTGTGTAATAGCTCTTGTGACATGAAACCAAAGTGAATGTTAATAGATTGAAAATGTTTGGGCTTATCTGTTGCATAGATGCTTCTCAACGCTGCTGCACTGGCACTTGTTGTCCTTTCAGACCTAACCTCTATTACCCAGTGCCCCTACCACTACTGAAATAACAGTCTGGCACTCCCTCTCTGAAGCTTGTGCAGGCCTGAAAACTCTGGGGCACTCGTTAAGCAAGAACAAGGGTGATTTTTCACCCTGAGTGACTAAGCCTCAGTGACGGGAAACTCTAGCGTCTTGTGTGCTGTCAGCGGGGTGGAAGAATAAAAGGGAAGTGGTAGCCAAAGGAATGCTTCAGAAGCGCAGACGACCGGATCAGTGTTATTTCTGCCTGGTTTCTCAGCAAAGATGACTGGAATATGGGATTTTTTTAACGCATTTTTTTGTGTACTATTCCAGATGGTGTGGACCTGGGGCCTGGGCTCCTTCTGTTGTACGTTTAACTTCATCTAGTAATGTGATGTTGCTTACCTTCTCACTGGACCAAAGAGAAGGAAGCAGCATATTAAAAGCTCACTTTCAAGCCATTCCTAAAATCAGTAAGTAATTAATAGCGACAAGCATCTAACGTATTCCTGGCTTTGCCTCTAAAAAAGTTGATGTTGCTTTGAACATACTTGTGGGAGGGAATGTTGGCGTATAAGTCAGGGCATTATCATTCTGACCCACTTTGAAAAAGGTTTGAGAACTGAACAAAGAATAGAAAAATCCTTTGGTCTGGGAGATTTTTTTGTCTTTCTGATAACTACTCAAGCCATACTTGCCAGACACTGGTCTTGCTACATGGAAAACACTGAGCAGTGGCAGCAGAGCAGCCAGCCAAATAACCCTACAGGCACTATATGTCTAGGCCAGGCTGGATATTCCCAGTCAAAGAACAGCACTTTTATCAATTTTGGCAATCTATCCCCAGCCTGTAGAATGTGTGTTTAAAGAAAATGGAAAACAGGAGCAAACACTTCTAATACGTCTTTGTTCCTTTACTGAAAGTACTGTTCGATGTAGTTAAATGTACAAGAAAAGTGTTTCAAGACCTGTGAAGTATATTCCGAACCTATAAGGTACTATGAATTTTACATGAGTTCTGGATGATTAGTGAAATATTATGAGTAATGATAAACTGTAGTATTGTAGAGGAGATGAAGGGGCTTCACCAGGTCAAGTTTAGTGACACTAATTTGGTAAAGCTGAAGTGAAAGAATTTTGACAATAAAGCAAGTGACTATTTTCAAACTTGTGGAACAAATCACAGGGGATAAACTTTTCCAAATCTTACACACTCGAGCTTGTGTCTTTGTGGATGCTGCTTAGGCAAATACCTATTCCATGCACATTACTAACTAGAATGGCTTAATTTTTCTGAAGATTAGCATTCCAAATGATATTTAGATGGGGGGTTGCCACAAAATATTGTTATTTTCAAAATTGTCTTCAATTCTGTTATATTCATGTTTGCATTTGTGATGTTATCAAAAGGGAACTAAAAGCACTGAGGACTGGATGTCTAGGAGAGTCCTTGGTAGAAAATAAAACCTCAAAAATACTGTTCAAATGTGGCATGAATTTTCAGACTGAGAACTGACACATAAACTTCCTGGTTTACGTGAAATTAAACAGAGGTTTCACTTCATTGGGCTGATTGCTTTTCAATTTTTGATAATGCCTACAGAAAGGTCAGAAGCACATCGGAAGGGGGAGGTTTGTTGCATCCACATTTAGTTGCTTCTTCTACCTACCACGAAAGAACACTTTTTAAAAACTTCAGTCAAAGGTGTTTTGTACTTCCCCTTAGCTGTAATTTAATAAGAGAAATCCAGTGTGATGGAGAGGTGGCAGTTGAGTGATTTCCTGTTAATACGGGCAAAATGTGAGTTTAATACTGTCACAACCCATTCTTCTAACTCAGTACATAGAGAAGGGTCCTAGCAAGTGAAGTAGCCTCTGCCCTTTAACCTGGCTGAGATAATAACGGTGTTCCTTGCTGATATGTTTCTCTCCCAGTGTGTGGTGGTCATTACATTTCCTGGAACGGGACACTGAGTTCCCCTTATTACCCAAGTTACTACCCACCAAACATTGACTGCAGCTGGATCATCAAAGTAAGTTCCGGGATCTCTTTTGAGTACTGATGATTTTGTTTTATGTTAATTAGACAAAAAATTGGGAGAAACTACTTTTGATGTGGGTGGAACAGAGAGAAAACTTAGTGGGACTCCTGCACCTGACTTCTTTTCAGGCACTCATTTCTTTCCTGTCTGATATACAGATGCCAGCTATGGAAGGGAAACATTGCCAACTTCCAAAAGTTTGAGTATTATTCATGACAAAACCAAATTAATGGGTGAGACAACAACTCCTAGCAGCCAGAGAAAATTAATAATAATCAGCACTTTTCTTCTATGTCAGAAAGAAAAAATGGTCATATAAATCATGCCTCATATGGTGGATACCACACTGTATTTCTCTGAATTCTGCAGAAACAGGATCTTCTCTGGCTCAAAAGTTAGCTCTGAATGTCCAGCAAGTCCTTTGGCAGGACTTAAAATCTCCCCATGATTTTTACCAACTCCCCAGTGTGTTTGTCTGTTGCTCCATTAAGCATTTAAGTACTTTTTTACTTTCCCTGGTAAAGGAAGCTTTTCATATATATGACTTGGTAACAGTCTCTACCTTTCTTGTGCTCAGTGAAAATTATTAGCAGCTTGTAGCATAAAACTCTCATCTCTGTTCACAAAAGGAATGGGAACACATGGCAGTTCAAACATAGGATGAACTGATACAGTGCTTTATGCTGATTGCAGAAATGCTCACACTCCTTTATTTGGCAGAGTCTGGCCAAAGTTGGATCTAAAAAGGTTTCTATAGATTTTTAAATCGGGAAAGTTTTTTGGTTCTTCGAAGGCACTAATTTGCACAATATAAATGCAGTACTTTCAATCTAATAATATGTATACAAAGATTTGCCATCTTGGCAGCACAGGCCTTTTTCACCTTCTGAATGTGTGTGTCAGGTTATTTATCCTTTGATTTTTAGGCACCATTGCCTGGCTACAAGCTATCACTAAAAATCCTTGTAATACAAATTCAAGAGAAGTCTCCAGGGTCCAGTAAATGTGATAAAGACTGGTTAGAAATTGATGGAGTTAGGTGAGTAAAGACATTATTTTCTGAGATATTAATTTGCATTTCGATGTTCTGTACAATGTGCTGTACTTAAGAAAAAAATGCATCACCACTTACACTGCAGAAAGATACATTTCAACAAAAAATTGGCATGCTTCCAAAGAACTTCAGCAGCAGAATGTTCTTAATCCTGCCCTAGTATTAAACATTTGTCATTACATTAATTTAGGCGTCCTGGTTTTTCTACAGGCACTTACTTACACTTTTGTTCCTCTTAAGAGCAATAATGTAGAAAACTACAGGATTTTATGCAGCTGCAGATGAACTGTAAATTCCTGGCAGCGGTCTTGATGTGGGTGAAGAGCTTGCATCCATCAGAACTTTCATTTTCTATACCACTTACACTTTAGTGACTGAAATTGTTACACTAACACTAAAAAAACCCACTACTCTGAGTAATTTGCCTCTTGGAAGGTGCATATTGAAATAAGCAACACCTATTGGATTTGGTTGTATGATTTAATCCTTTACTGGATTTGCAGCTCTTGGATTTGCAAACCTAAATGGGAAATCTGAAATCAAACATGCTTGAAGCAGTTTGTGTTTTTAAGGCAGATCCTGACGTGGATCATCTTGCTGTATTTTGTTTCAAAGTCTGCTAGTTCCAGAAAAGTTATGGAGTGGAAGGCATTTGTAAATGCTTCTGTTGGGCTGTTTTTAACACCAAAATATAACTGATCTTTACTGCATTGTCTTTAAAGCTTTCTGGTGTCATTACCTTTCAGTAAAAGTAGATGTAGCTGGGTGATAATGGTCTGTTTGGTTAGAAATTAATAATTCTCACTTTTGCCTTGCTAGATACTGTAAAGCTCTTTCAGAAAACAACAGAAACAGGGAATATGGCTATTCTGTTGCAATCAATTTCCATTCTGATGAACTGGTCACCCACAGAGGGTTTTATATTGAATATAAAGCCTTCAGTCACACAGACCGTAAGTTATTGAGCACGTACTTTAATTTTTAAGGACAAACCTTTGAGAAACCATGCTTGACAGGCCAACCACATACAAATCAACCTGTCTTTTATTGTTAACCTAATTTCAAGAGATAAATGTTTAAAATATGATTCTACCTTTAATTGAACAAATAGATGTACACATTTAGAATAAGATGCTTTAAGAAGCTTATTTTCTAGGTTTTATCAATATTTATGTGAAATGGGTAGTAAAAAAAAAAATTTCTCCATTTCTGTGGATCTAATTATATGGCACTTTGCTAACACCTTAAAATAGCCAAGCTGCAACATGAAAATAGTATGGCAGAAAGCCTCTACGCATGACTCCTCTGCCAGCAGAAGTTAACCACGAATACTTAGTCTTCTCTCTAAATTCACAACTCAACTTGCTCTAAATCAGTTTCCAGGTTTATGCAAACACTTTAGATTTTCACTGACAGTTGAAGAGGACCCCTTGCTAGCAGATGTTGCAGAAATATGACTGAGTTTCTTATAGCCCTCTCCTGATTCCCCAGTCTATGCACTTCTGGATCAGCGTTAGGTCTTGGGGGGCTTCTGAGGGTGAAACAGGAATTTTCAGGGGATACACATATCTACATGTGATATTTCTTAGAAAAGATGGAATATCTTATTTTTTCTATGCCTTTTATTTCCTTTACCCAATTAACATCTAGGTAACTAAAGTTCTCTGCAATTTCAGGAGATCAGATGAGTTTTTGAAACCTCTTCATATCCTCAGCTTGCTTGACCAAATGTAGTTCAGTGTTGACACAGAAGCATTTATGTATTAAGGTCTTTGATAAAGATTCTTGTTTCATGACTTCCATTATAAACAGGTGTTAGGTTTTATGGTTGGTCATTCAACAGGATTAACACAATTTTTAGGGATTTCTGCTTCCACCAATGTGTGTCTCTTTGTACTAGAAAAAGTTACAGACTATACCATGTACTATGGTTACTCCAGTCGCTGCCTCAAAAACGGGCTAAAGATGAGTCTAAGCCTAAGAATACATTTTTTAACAGAGAAAATCCTCAGTCTTTATTAGAATTATAGAACATGCTGAGTTGGAAGGGACCCATCAGGATCATTGAGTCCAACTCCTGGCCTTGCACAGGACACCCCAAGAATCACACCATGTGCCTGAGAGCATTGTCTAAACGCCTCTTGAACTCTGTCAGGCTTAGTGCTGTGACCACTTCCCTGGGGAGCCTGTTCCAGTCCCCAGCCACCCTCTGGGTAAAGAACCTTTTCCTGATATCCAACATAAACCTCCTCTGACTCAGCTTCAGGCCATTCCTTTGGGCTCTGTCACAGAGAAGAGATCAGTGCCTGTCTCTCCTCTTCCTGTCAGAAGGAAGTTGTAAATGTAGTGAGGTCTCCCCTCAGTCTCCCCTTCTCCAGGCTGAACAGACCAAGCTGCTCCTCATATGGCTCTTCCTCCAGACCCTTCACTATCTTCATTGCCCTCCTTTGAACACTCTCTAGTAGTTTAATGTCTCTTTTATATTGTGGTGCCCAAAACTGCACACAATATTCAAGGTGAGGACGCCCCAGTGCAGAGCAGAGCGGGACAATCCCCTCCCTTGACCAGCTGGTGATGCTTTGCCTGATGCCCCCCAGGACATGGTTGGCCCTCCTGGCTGCCAGGGCACTGCTGACTCATATGCAACTTGCCATTGACCGAGACCCTTTCTGTGGCACTGCTTTCCAGTCTCTTGTTCTCCAGTCTATACACATGTGCTGGTTTAAGAGTTAACCAGCAGGGGTAATGAACCCAACTCAAAGGAGAGATTATAAAGTCAGAATAACAATTTATTAAAATAATACAGTAAGTACAATCATACAAACAAACAATTGGTCTTAACCCACAAAACCCAAATGTATAACCCAGTACCTTGGGGGCATGAGCAAAGTGGTGTTCCTTGGGCCCCGCTTAAGTCCAAAGTAAAGGGAGAGGGGAAAAAAAAAACCTGCTGGTGGGAGAGCTGTTGCAGTCTGGTCAGAAGTGGTGATTGCAGTCCAGCTGAGGTTGAGAGCAATGAGCTGCAGTCTTCCTCTGGATCCCACGAGTGGTTGAAAAGTTCTGAAACTCCAGGTTTATATATATTCTCCAGTTCAGGCAGGAATGGTCAGTACTTCCCTCAGGGAGTTCCATAAAAGGTAAGAGCATCCTCCTATCTCACAGGCCTCTTAACACCTAGTTTATAGCCTGAGGAGTCAGGCTCTTATGGGCAGAGGGTGCAAATAATCTATTGACAACAGTTTCTGGGAAATGGCATGGAAGGCTATAGAATACACAGTTTTGGGTTACACCCATACCATGATGAACTGCTCTCAGCTGTGCTAACTAGGACAACACACAACCAGGGTTGCCCCATCCCAAGTGCAGAATCCAACACTTTCCCTTGTTAAACTTCATATGGCTGGTGATTGCCCAGTCTTCTAATTTGTTGGGGTCTAGTACTATCCGTGTGCTCTGCTTCTAGCACTGAGGAGCAAGCAGATGGCTCAAAGTTATTTAATCAAGTCTTAGTCATGATCATAAGGATCTGTGTTAAGACTCAGCAGGTGGGGTAAAATAGCTGTGATGTGTCAGTATCAAGTCATTACAGTAATTTGTGGAAGACCATCTGAGAGTGCAGCATGTATTGAGAGCACTGGTTTTCTAGGTCCGAGGTGCCTGTAGAAGTAAAAAGGGGGAAAAAGAATTCATCTCCAGTATCTGTACTACCTGCAGTCACTCACCTCAGACTAGTTTCTTTCCATTGTTGGGTACCTATTAAAACACACTTATTAAAAATCACAGGCACTGCTCTGAGTTGACCTGGAAATCAAATGCCAGCCATCATCTGAATAACTTTGGGAGTGGTGAAGAGAAAATGGAAACGCTGCTGGCTACCTAGTGTGTGCTTTCCTCCCACTGACATCACATGCAAGGCAATGAAGAGGACTAAATTACCCCAGATTGGAACTGATAAGACAACTGTGGGACAAATATGTTTGGTCCTTCAATCTGATGTAGCTCTTAATTTGCTTATGGTGCTAGATGAGAAAAAAGTTTCATTTGACTTGGGCAGAAAGAAGAGAACTTTCAACTACTTGTTCTTCCACAGATAATTTTTTTCCCTGACACATCTGAAAAAGTGGAAGACAACAAACATTTTTTTATTTATTGCAAATGAACAACTGACCATCTATACTAGTTGGTAGTTTAAGTGAATGTGAAAGAAATTCTTGGGGAAAGGCTGTTTCATAATGAAATTGGATTTGGAAAAGGTTTGATAAGGCACTTATTTACATAAGACCTTCAGTTGAATGTAGTAACACAGATTAGTTTCTGCAACATTTTAATATCAGGAAATATTTATCTATAATATTAAAGAGAATGCCTAGTTTTGATTTTTTTTATTTTCCTTCTCCTTAGATGCTCCTGTGTAGAATATATTCCCTTAACAAATTAAACAAGTGTTTGCTATCAGTACTTGTTATGTGTCTGTGCTGAATCACTTTCAACCCTCAGAGTGAGGCAGTTAATGTGAGATTAATTTGCTAATTTCCATTTAGATGAATATTGATTAATTTGATCCAGACTGATTGATAAAAATCTTTGACAGGTTGTGCCAAGTAAGATATTGTTTCCTTTTTAAACATTCAATTTATTGTGTAAATGACACTAGCTTCAATTTTTAACAACCATTTTAGTATTTCTGCATGGTGTAGTCCTGCATTAATGCATTTAGACTGTAAAAGCATTTCTAGTGTCATTGATTTCTTATTTTTCTAGCTTGTCCTTAGATATGCAGATAGAACATGCATTCCTTCAAGCAATCTGTCTGAAGGTTGGAAAGGCTGCTCAAATGGTAGTGATGAACTAGATTGTGGTAGAGCAATTATTTCTTGTTTGTTGTCTTTTTTTAAAGAGTTTGTTCCACTAAGTTTAGAGGCTGTCTGAAGTTCTCTAAAATACTGGTGGTGATCTTTAAGATCACATGAGGGATGTGGGTGAAGATATAAAAGTCTGGAGAAGAGGTTGTGTAATGCATCTCTTTTAAGAGTGGGAGAACAAAAAAATGAAGAGGGAATTTTACACCGACCTTTATAAGTTAATCTTCCAAAGGAAAAAAAAAAAACGTAGCACAACAAATAAACTATTTGTAAACAGTGAAAATATTAAAAACCAGCATGTAGTTCTAAAATATTGTTTTAATTCCCTACTGTGATAGGATAAATAGAGGAGAAGCTGTACTTTCACGCTGTCTTGTGTGACAAGCTTGTCAGTAAGTAAAGAAAGCATAGTAAGGAAAAAAATACAGAAAACTGTTTCCAGAGAACAAATGGCAAAGAGTAATTACCAAAGTGAAAGGATATTTTCATTGTCATTCTGCCAATATCTGTTATGGAATGTCACATAATTTTTGTTCGCAATCTAAATGATAGACTAGAGTAGATGCTTATGATATAGGGAAAGTGCTACACAATAGAAAGAGGGATGTATTTATAAATGCTCCTGAGAAACTGGAGAACATATATGTAGAAAAATAAAGATCTGAACATAGGGAATCAAATAGACAAGTAGATTGCCTACGTTGCTTTTTTGCTAAAAATGGCTGGGGGGATAATAGTTACTCAAAAGATGACTTGTGAGTCAGTCATAAAATATTTTTTGTGTGTTTTGTGTGTACTTGGTGTTTTGTTTTTTGGTTGTCTTGTTTTGTTTTGGGGGGTTTTTAAGCATCACCCTAGGATATAAAGCGGGAGTTTGAAAATATCTTCCCAGTCACTGGCGGGAAGGCCTCAGCTAGAGTATTGTATCCAAACTGGGTACTGCACATCAAAGAAGATAAGGAACACTGAAGAGATGCTGGAAAGACTGACCAGAAGGTAACACAAGGTCAGAGAGCACAGCACAAGTTAGCTAATGAAACAAGTCTCTCTGTCACTGGATGCTCTCAAAACCATGGTAGATTTATGTCTGACAGAGATAGCACAGCAACCTTGAGGTGACCTCTGACAGGGTTTGTAGCTCATAGCTGATAGCCTGCTATTGGAATTATAAAGCATTTACAGACCTTTCTTCTTCAGGTTGTAATCCAGAATGGTTGAACTGTGGTGACAGGAAGTGTAAGCATCAGTATAAGTCCTGTAAAGAAGATGACAGCTGTGGGGAGGACAGTGATGAAAACAACTGCTGTAAGTATATATTTTTAACTATCTTCTGAAAGATGGTGGAAGGCAGAAGTGGGAATATGCTTATTTTAATGGATAAATGTGTTATTTCTAAATAAATTTTTTTCATGGCACAAAGTTTCATAATTGTGAAAATAAAACATGCAGAGTATAACTAGTTCTTGGGGGAGTCTAGACAATTAATGAAGCAAAATCCAAGATAACAGTCATTTTAGAAAGATGAACAAAGCACATTTGCTGGCGATCTTGTTGGAAGAGCACTTTTTCCCCAGGTTCTGCCAGATCTGTACAAAACAATGTAAGGGAGAGAGATATGGTAGGTTGGGGACTGTTGCCACAGTCATGGTCTTTTTACTGTAGATCCACAATGGTTACAGACACTGCCGGTACTACCAATGTCTCCCTAGTGACTTGCTGCCTTTTTCCATTATAATTCTTGGCTTGTTTTGGATCTTAGGTCCTTGAGGTAGCCAGGAGTATGTCTTCGTTTGCTGAAAAAAACTCCTTCCCACTGTTTAGAGGTGTAAGCAACTGGTAATAAGAACAATAGTGATGGAAGCCTATTGCTGAGATGTGTCAGGGTTCTCACATAGTAAACTTTGATAGTCCTTAGAAAAAATTTATTGGTGAGAGGTATAAGGTTCTTCCACAATTCTCTCTATTTCACTTAAAAATGCAGAGGTGCTGTGAAGATTTGTAATTCATAACGCCAGTAGTGCTGGTGAAGGTAAAAGAACAGATCTGACAAGCCTAGCTGATTCAGTTTAGAGTTAAGTAAAATGGTGGTGAAGACAGTTGGATGCTTTTATGTCTTTTTCCTCATGGATATTGAAGACTGAAATTAGTGTGATTGTTATTCAGAGTAAAACATTCCACTGTACCTTCTCCATAGAGGGACCAGTTTACACCAGTACAGGCTGTGGCTTCCAGCAGATTGGAATGCGTAGTTTTGAACAACTAGTTGAACGTGCAAGGGTTTTTTTAATAATTTGAAAGCCTGACTCCAAACCTGTGACACTATCTTCTCTCTCTTATTTCAGCCTACAAAAGTTGCTCGCCTTATGCATACAAATGCCTCAATGGAAAGTGCTTGCTGAAACCAAATCCTGAGTGTGATGGGAAGAGAGACTGTGCAGATGGATCTGATGAAATGAACTGTGGTGTGGTAACATTTATGTAAAAATTAGTTTATGACTAGGGAAACTGAGTCAGGAATTTGTGTTACGGTCAAGCACTACTGGATAAAGAATTGATTAAATCAAATGGAAGTTAAAAAAAATTAATTCCCAGTAACATTGGTATGAAAATGTACATCTTGAATTATGCATGGTTCTTTTAAATCCACTCATCCATTCCGTGTGTGACGACTTATTTCAAGCAATGAACACTTCCAGGAGTATTTGGAAGGTCTTAGTGCTTGTTGCAGCTGAATAAAATGCAGTTTAAGTGCTGTGTTTGGAAGGAGGGAAAAATGTGAGAATGTAATCAAGTGAACTTTCAGAAACGACCCAGCTTAGGTTTGTGCCTAAATGTCTTTTTGAAATGTTAACCTCTTTAGAAAGCTACAAGGGAGGATAAGCAATGATTGGCTTATATCTCACCTGCCCATTGAGTGAGAAGGAGCAAGTACTCACCTTTTTACAAATTGCACAGTAAGAAAATACTCTTTTTTTCCAACAGCTTTGTGGTCTGCGGATAAAAGTTTGTGTTAAGCATGGCAAAGTGAAATGACCTTGTGGGCTTTGTTACTATTGTATTCAATGATTTCTATTAGCTTGTGGAAGACACCAGATTAAGAAAAACAGAATCGTTGGAGGTGAAGATGCAAGATCTGGAAAGTGGCCTTGGCAAGCAAGTTTACAGATGGGAGCACAAGGTCATGTATGTGGTGCATCTGTTATTTCCAACAGGTGGCTCATATCTGCTGCCCACTGCTTCCTGGACTCTGATTCTGTGAGGTATGAAGAAATTATATTTTCTCAGAGTATGTACAGTTTAATAACCTTACAGTGTTGCTTTCAAAAGTCTGCAGTAGCTATTCCTTGTCTAGAGAAGTTGATTAAGGTTTTAATTCTGTGACATATCAGTACATCAACACTCAGTATTGTATTCTGCTGGCTTAAAAAATCTGAAGTATTCAAAGTTACTTCTTTACTTCTATTGTCAGTCAATCCTGCAAGATAAAACACTGTTTTGTTAGATTTAGGGTAAACACCCTTTTTTTTTATTCTTTCTTTTTTTTTTTTACTTAAGGCGGTGATTTCCTGAATAGAATCTGTGACCTTTTTTCTCCAGAAAAGTTCCTGTTTATTGAGTGTAAAACTCACTGATGTTCAGTTTAGGCAGTGCAAATTGAAAAGACATACCTCCTACACGCAACAAGGAGGAATTAGAATTTAATAATATGCTTTTCTGACTCCCAAAGCATGGTGCATTGCATGGAATTGATCTTAGAGCTCTAGGAAATTAATTGTTTTCAAAATAACAAGTAAAAAAATTACTTAATGTTTTAGGAGACAGAGATTATAGTACATCTATCTTCTGAAGTACTATTCTACTCTATTCACTTTGGTTTTGATGAATCTCATCTAATACTGAAAAGTAGTTAAAATGGAGTGAACTAACACTACAGTACTTTCCAGTGGGATCTTCTAAAAACATTTTCTTTACAGATACTCTGTTCCTTTGGGATGGAGAGCATATATGGGCTTACACACTATTAATGGAAAAAGCAATCGTGTAGCTATGAGATCAATCAAAAGGATTATTGTCCACCCACAGTATGACCAATCTATCTCAGATTATGACATTGCCCTGTTGGAAATGGAGATGCCTGTATTCTTCAGTGAGCTGGTACAGCCCATTTGTTTACCCAGCACCTCTAGAGTATTTCTTTATGGAACTGTCTGCTATGTAACTGGCTGGGGAGCCATAAAAGAAAATAGTATGTTCATTTCTTGGATATACTTCTGACAAGTTTGGCTTAGTTTTAAACTCTAACAATGAAATATTTATACTTGTAAGCAAAATAAAACCCAACTCTGTGGTTTACTTAGTGGGTCTATAAAAAGCTAGAAAAAATCTCCTTAGCTACAGTCTGTGAATTCTGAATGTTTGCTTGGGTGGCAGGTGATAAGTGACAAAATGCACAGTCAGGTGTCACAGATCATTGAAAAGCAAATGTCCGTAGATTTACAAAAATGTGCCTGTGCTCATGACTTATTTTATCTGGTGAATAGGTATTTTGCATGTAAAGTAAACAGTGACTTGCAGCTATTGCAGAGAAAGAATTTGTCTCTATATCTACATTTGTGACAATAGGGGGCCATGAACAGCAGTAATTGCAAAAATATCATGGAGGATTTTTTGTTTTCTCTGTCTCAACTAAAGGCAGTTTAATGTAGGCCCCATGAAGAGTTTTGCCTCTGTGCTTGAAATAGCATGCTGCAGTAAGGAGGCAGAAAAAAAGCAAATTGAATTGGAGAGGGGAGGCGGGGGAGCCCATGGGATCATGACCCTGTCTCAGCATTAAACAGGAGCCAGTGTTGAAACCTGGTCTTGGACAGCCCCTCAGCACTTCAGAGGTCCCCACAGTTGTCCTGAGACCTAGTTCCTCATGTTTGGTCAGAAGCACCTAGGCTGTGTAGTTCTGTCTTACTTAATATGCCTTAAAAAAATAATTAAATCTCATTAATAACAGAACAACCTACTGAAGTGCAAATGGCTTTACAATTGATGCCTTGATACGTCTTGCCTTTTATCAAAATTACATGGGTAACATTCAAATTCAGTATATGATATGTAAAAGAAACATATTTTTCCATCTGTTTCACTCCAAACCCACCCTCAAAGCTGACTAATCAAACAAACCAAAATTCTGTACTTCCTCTGATCATCCAAGTATCAAAAAGGTTAGGTACACTATTGGGCCAAAACATGACTTGGGATTTTTAGTTCACAACGACAACTTATGTCAATACTATAGCACAGAATTAAGTTCTTAGTATCATGTGTGACTCGCAGGCTGTTTTTTGTTGGTTTGTTTTGTTTTGTTTTGTTTTAATTATTTGGTTTTCCCCCTTTAGCTTTATTCCTCAGTTTAGAGAGGATTGAAAACAGCATATAAATTTCATTTTGTAGGACTTGGACATTTTTTGGAGCACAACTACAGTGTGAATAACAACATATTGTCTTTGGACATAATTTGAAATGGCATTCAAAGATAGTTACTCTGTGTAGAATCTTATTTTATAGTTTGCATGGTGCTTTTACTACTTTCTGGCAGAACACGCTCATTAGGATAAAGACTAGGGAAATGGAAAGGTGGTGCATTGGGACCTCTGTGTCTAGAGGGTAGTATGGACAAGAACTTTTAAAAGTTGAGGGCAGGCACCATTTGAAGGGAATAGAATTACTCTGCTGTCATTAGCTGGACAAGATTTAGAGCTTGAAGCAATTCTCTTTTGTGATATCTCTATTAGAAACTTGCACCACCTTAACCTCTGCAATACTATTTGTATTTTTTTCTAGGTCATTTTGCCAAAACACTGCAAGAAGCTCGAGTGAGAATAATTAACCAAAGTGTTTGCAACAAGCTGTATGATGATCTTATTACATCACGTATGCTCTGTGCTGGGAATCTTAATGGTGGCATTGATGCATGCCAGGTAATCTGGAACTTGTAGAAAAACTACAAAGAAATACTTGGTTTCATTAGAAAGCTGTTCAGAGTTGTGGGTTGTTTGTGTGGTTTTTCTTTTCACCTTTTTTTTTCTTTCTGTTTTTATTAGTAATAGAGAAAGATATCTTGAGTGTGAGTGTATGGTTAACTTAAAATGACAACTAAAGGCTCTCCAAAACAAGGAAGGAAATTTGGCATAGATAATCTCTGACTCTTGAGAAATGTTGTTTTGCAAAGACAAAGGGTCAAATGTGTCAAGAATTGTTTTTCATCTTCTCTTATATGAAATATAACTGTAGAAGAAAAATACAAGGATAAAAGGAATGAAGTTAGGTCCATTTTATTAATTTGTATTAATTTCTTTTTTTCTTTTTTAGTGTCTGGGTGTGTAACTGCTAAAATACTGTAACAGTATGATGAGTAATGTATTGTTATAGTTACAAAGAAATACAAACAGAAAAGCTAAGCTAGGTTTGGGAACTGCAACTGCAATGTTCCTTTTTAATACAACTTTTGACTACATCACTGTATCATAAGTTATATGACCTCACTTATTTATACGCACAATCAGAAACTGCTCTTTGGATGTACTTCAATTGTCCTGACTCTGCTTTCTTCCTCCATCTCAGTTATTAGACTAGTTGTGTACTTTTTTAATATTTAAACTTATGATAAATATCAACTTTCAAAATTACAAACATGTTTTTTATACCAGTTACTGTGTAAAGGGAGAGAAATGTGTTACTGATTTTTAGACTGTGGCAATTTGATATAATATTTGTGTAATATATAAATTCTACTATTTTAATGTAATAGGAAAATTTTTGCAAGATTGTAGCTCAAAATGGGTCAAACTTCTTTATATGGAATAGACTATTTGCAGGGTTTTCTTGCAGTCCTTAAGTTTTAATTCAATGAACTGTTATTTTTGTTAACTTTATGTACAGTTTTTCTATAACCTTAGACCTTGGAATTGTTTTGTTAAAACATGTTGGTTTAGGAGTGTGATGTTCCTCCGAAGATGTATTGCTTAAGAAATGCCCTTGAATTTTCAGATGGACATTTTTAAGCAATTCAGCTATATCTCATACTGGCTAGTTTCCAATATAATACGCTGTGTTTGAATCCTAGCATGCTGGCCCTCTGGGCCTCTAAGTTCTTGGTCTGGGTAGCATCTTGGCTATTTTTTTGTTTTCTGTCACTAGTATATTTCCTGTACAGTGCTAGAGAGGAATGACACTGGGAGTTCAGGAAACCCCCGCAGCACCCTGAAACCCTCTTACTATAGTTCCAGACTTGTGGTCATCCTGTTTTGTTCATTTCTTCCTGGACATGTAAGCTGTGCATGTATTGCACAAGTTATGCAAAGCTTCCAAACACTTTTCATCTTTAGAGGATCTGACACTTACAGTGAAAAATGAAACAATTATTCTTTCACACGGTTTTCTTATCACTCCAGGATGTCCTTTGGTCTTAGTTCATCTGTGTAGGATCCTTCCTCTGCCACCATCATACCGCCCTTTCAGTCTTTCAGAACAGGCTGTGTAATCAGCTGGACTGTGTATCCTCCTTTCTCAAGTCACTTTGGGATCAGCCTCTTGGATCATTAAAATTGCTCATAGGACAGCAGCCTGAGAGAGTAGAAGAACTGCTCTGTCGTCTTCTCTTATCTCTAGATAATTTTGTTTGGTTGGGTGATGAAGGCTTTTCTGTTATTACTCTTTTCTTGGTACATGGCTTTCTTCTGACCTTTTACATGTTTTAGCTCCAACTGGGGGCAGCAAACAAATCCCAGGGTCACTTTGGAGGCTGCTGACTGCCTTGTGTGCGTAAGGAACAGCTGCAGAGAGGAGCTGCACTGTAGCTGCTCAGATTTCTGTGAACAGACCAGTTCACAGAAGACATACAAGGTTAAAACAATGAAAGACACAAAAGCATTGATGAGCCTGAATGCATTTGGATCCTGTGAACTGAACCAAATGGAATTTTTTATTTTCCTACATTGCTGTGCAGAGCTGCATGTTCCATTTGAGGACTGGGCTGTTATTTGTGTGTTCCTTAGTCTTTATTCCTTCCTTTCCATCTACAAATGTAGACACAGTCTTGACTGTGAAACTAATGTTAATCCTTAATTGTGCCTGGTTTGTCTTGGGGTTTGGAGTTTGGTTTAGTTTGTTGGGTTTTGTTGTTGTTGTTTGTTTGGGGAGCTGTTTGTTTGTTTTTAATTGAGGGTGTGTGGTATCTTTCTGTTCCTATTTAACACACACCATGAGAATTCTGCCTTCAACCTGTGAACAATTTATGGTCAAATGGTAGTAGAATTCCCCATTTCTGTCCCTATTGTCATCTCTCCCCATTTTGGCTGTGTTGAGTTGTTTTATGAATCCTGTAGTGGGAATTAGCAAGGGGTACTTTTACAAACTACATCTTGCCAGTGATTTATATTGCTTTGTGTGCTACTTCCACAAGTTAAGAAAATTGAAAAAATTTGGTGTCTAGCTGGGTACATTCTATCCAGAATTTAGACTCTAGTATTAAGTTTTAATTTGAGAAACAGAAAGGTAGGTATTTACTGTTCTGAAATAACCTAACTTTTGTTACAGTGCTTTGTGTGTGTGTATACTAATGGCTGGACTCCCTTCATTTTAGGGAGATTCTGGAGGTCCCTTGGCCTGCACAGGAAAGGGAAATAGATGGTATCTTGCTGGCATTGTGAGCTGGGGTGAAGGATGTGCTCGGCGCAATCGTCCCGGTGTGTACACTAAGGTGACAGCACTGTACGATTGGATCCATCAGAACACAAACTGATCAACCAAGGAGAAAATGCACATCATCTCCATATGAAAGGCACTTCCTCCTGTAGTCTACCTGATGGCATAACAGGAAAATGCCGTTGACTGTTTCTTTGTGAAAGAATACACTTTCTTAATGAAGAAACTATAATTTGTGGTTCACCTAGAAATAACTGTTCAGATCCAGAGCAACTTCAGGTTCCTTATGGATTCATCTTCTTTATCCCCATTACCAGAAACAGCACTGCCTTAATAACAAAACAAAATGGATTAGAACCTGTAACAAAAATCCAGCCAAAACTCTCTTGTGCAAGTCTTCTCTTCTTCCATGTCTCTTGTTATCTCTATATATCTAAATGTTTCCACATACACATATCTGCATATTCATAACCACATTCCATATATATTCAAGTCATGTATATTGCCTTAGTGATGTTACAGGATTCTAAACATAAATGATTATTTCATATTTCTCAAAAATACAAATAGTGTATAGTGTACAAAGCTTAGATTAATTCATCCTCTAGTTATGCTCCCACTGCCCAACTATTACTTTCTGGGCTGTAACTTTTAGGTTCTCTACTGTGTTTTCTTAAAAATATAAGATATATTGCTCACAAACGTTAGGATGCAAGATATTTCTCTTAAAGAACTGGAAGAGGATGATGTCTAGTTAAATGGAAAGAATTAATCACTCATAATTAATTAAACTAAAAAACTCTAATGCTTTTTCTTACATTATCTTTACAATTTCAACATAACTGAAGGGTTTAATGTTTTTAGTTTGTTACAGGTGTATTTCCCCAGTTCTGTCTCTGGCATGCATTGTGAATTTTAAGCATGGGTTCACTGTTTTTCCTGATTTCCTTAGTCCATAGCAAGCAGAGTTTCAGGTTCAGGAGTTTTGTTTTGTGTATCTTTCTGGGCTGTGCCCGTGTGGCCACACTTCGTTGAAAGGGACATGAAAGGAAAATAGATTTATGTGATTGGATGCATCCTTGCATCCAAAGTAGAAAAGGAAATGGCAACCACATTCCTTTAACCCTGTCACTAACTCTAGTTTGGATAATTACAATCTCCTGATGAGCGGATCATCCCAAATCTAGCTGATTTAAGATTTCCAAAGCTGCTTATGAGACTTAAGAATACTGGTATTTAGCTTAATAAAATATTTTCTTAGATGGCTTTAAGACCATGCAGATGGTCTTTAAATTGTGCTCAATGTTCGAAACGTTTAGCTTTCACCTTTAATGTATTTAAAAAAAAAAAATTAAGTTGACAATTTGAATGCCTGTCACTGCTGTCCACAGAGCACACTTACTCTGCAGCACATAAACACGTGCTCTTTAGTTTTAGACCCACCTTGGCAGCATGTGGGGAAAATGCTGGAATGAGCTACCACTGTAATCTGCATGCACTGAGATACTTCTTTCTAACACTGATTTTGCTTTTCCTTCCTTTCTCACTTTAGTGTTGGGCACCTTACCTTGGCTTCTGCTGAACTTACAGCATAAGCTATACTCAAAGCCTATATTTTAGGAGGTTACTATCTTTAATGGCTAGTCGGTCATTCAGATCTTCCTTTTCAATAAACACATGCTAAAACTGCAAGTGGATATGTTTTATTTGTTTGTGCCTCTGAAACCCTAATCCCCAGGTGCAATCAGACTACATGTGTACCTTGGAGTTTCTTCTTTTTGTAAAGCTGAGCCTAGCATAACCCTATTACTAAAGTGCACATTTAAAGGCACAAGTTTCTTTTCCTTATATTGAAACCAGAGATGTCTTGGCTAGGGAAGAAAACAGTTTTTCTGCTGTTCTGTTTTAGATAAAAGCTTAACCCAGAAAGTTCAGGTCAGTTCTCGACTTCTCATTTTATTTAAGAGTTTCTCAGCAACACATGTCAGAAGGGCTGGTACTTCACGTGCAAGAAGGGCACCAAGTGTGGAAGTTAGATTGCCCCAGATGAAAGAAACTCAACACTTTAGGGAGCTCCTTCACAGATATAAAGAAAATAAGGACTTTGGCCTGTGCATGGTGAGATCTATAATCATTAACTCATTTGACTTAGAAAAACCTTTTTGGTTTCAGACAATTCTGTAGGAAGGTAATGTCTTTTACTGTGATTGGAAATTAAATAAATGAAGCTGGTCTCCAGCCAGAGTACTGAGAAACAGCTCATAAAGGCTTTTCTAGTGAAGATGTCCCAGGTAAAATCTTGTGGATCCAGACACATGTTATAATCTTGATGACTACTCAGCTTCATCCTCAGTCCTCAGGATTCTCAGAACCAAAGGTGGGGTTATACAATTTGTATTTCTTTTTACTTGCTGAATAAACATAAGACATGTGCTCAGTTTTGTGGAGTGCCTTTGCCTGGGTGGCTGTGACACATCAGAAATCTGAACCCTGGGCATCAGTAGCCAGATGAGTTGCACAAAGAAAAAAATCAAAGTGGCAGGATGGGGAGAGACAGCGTCCCAGGCTTTTGGTAGGAAAAAGAAGTAGCAGTGCTCTGAGTGGATACCCAGGCAGCAGAGAAGGGAGTTGCTGAGAGAGGCTTTGTTTGGCTCTTAATGCATGATCCTCCCTGTGCTGGAACAAAAGAGTAAGCAAGAATGCAGTAAACAGCTACCTGCCCAGCCCTTTAGATCCAGAGGGGAGAGAGATGCTCTGTGGGGAGGAAGGAGAAACATGAGGGTGGAGTCAGAACAGGAGAAATAAGAGGAGGTAGGATGACGGATAGTGGGGAGGTTGGGGGAGGAATCAGCCCTGGCTGCAGTGAGCAGCGGTGAGTGACTTTAAGTGCACAAGAGTGTTCACGTGGGAAGTTAATGCAAACCAGATCACCATGACTGCTTCATAAAAACATGCCCTGTAGATCATAGGTTGAAATTGAAGGTCATCTTCCTCTTCTCCTCAGATCGGTACTTTGTGGTTTTGCATTTTTTTTTTTTTTTTTTCCTGAAAGCAGCTTCTCAGGTTTAGGTTGGATAGTATGTTAATAGACAGAAATGGTTCTTTAACACCAGATGTGATTTTAGGGAAAGGACAATTCACAGCCCAAAGATCAGTAGCATTCATTTCTTTATTGTCTATACAGGGAGACTAAAATTACAAGCGTTGCTAGAGTCACAGCCTAAGCAGACCACAATCCATATGATCCTTTACTCAGTTTGTGCTGCTCAGAACCACATCTGTTTAGCTGCATGGAAAACATTAATAGTAATTTATTGCTTTGGCTGACAGCAGCAGGGAAAGCATTCTGGTGCCTTTCAAAATTGCCTCAGCGAATGATAACGTTGCTGAAGGTTTAGTCACTTGCTTGTCAAGGGCTGGTACAGGAAGGCAGGCAAACTGGAAAACCTAGTATTGCACAGCAGAGAGCTGTAGTTCTCACGGCTGGGCAAATTGATACTTCCTCCACCTCCTGTTTCTCTGTAGCTAGTGCAGCCGACGTCATTTGTTCTTCCAAGGAATTCCCCTTATTAATCAGTGTTTTGAGATCACTTCTGTGAAAACTATCCCAACTCTCCCTGTTAAGTGTCTCCAGCCTCGTATCAGAGCTATTACTGACCTGAAACCAGAAGGAAATGAGTTGCCTCTGTGCTTGCTTTAGAGTCAGAGGTCCTCACACAGAGACAGAAGAAATAAAAAGGCAAAGCTCTGCTCAGGAGCATGAGATTATTGAATTAAAAGAAGATAACGTGGAGGAAAGCGAGGCTGATCATGACAAGCCTCTAAATGCTCCAACGAGAAAGGTAAGAATTTTATTCGCTCATTAGATCTTTGCTGTTGGGGAAAACACTACATAGCAAGAGAAATGACGCTTTGCAGAAACATCTTGCTGGGGTGGTTCAATTGATTGTTCAAGGGAGAGGGAAAGGAACTGAAAACGTACTTTTTTTCTTCTTATCCGTGAGATGTTCTGATATTGGAGTGGCATTTTAAGTTTTAACTTGGGAACTAAAGTTGCAATTGATACTCTGAGTTTTGCTTTCTATTTTCATGTGCCATCAGTGGGATTGGGCTCAAAATCAGAAAGGAGAAAAGTTGAAATCGGTTTTAGACACAGGCTTCCCTTCAGTACAAATTAACCAGAAAACAGTGCTGCCAAAACAAGAATGTCCTCCAACAGAGCATGCAGGATTATCTTTCTTTTTATCTTTGAGTAATTCAGAGTTGCTAACCATTATGAATTTGTATTAATAGAATGCTCCAAAGCCTCAGTCAAGACCAACGTATGAGTCCTGAGGAAGGTAGCTTCCAGTACTTAGCTTAAAGCTATGGAGCAGACTAATGCTGGCAGAGGTATAATATATGTTCACGGCTGACTGTTGTACAATGATTTACATTACTCGCTCAAGGAATATTTGTGACAGAGCAAAGATGTTTCCCACTTTTCTCTAGGCATGGCTGAGCCCCCCGAGAGCTGTCTGTATTAGTCACACCACCCCTCCCTTCCTGCTCCTAGTGTAGTAACTGCAACTGCTTCCTTGTGCAAGCCCCACTGATCATCTCTGTGTGCTGATCCATTCCACTGGCTGGGCAAAACCCCCATTTATTCTACTATATCAGGGGTCAGCTACTTCTCCTCTGGTCTGGTAAGCTGAATCAGCTTGCTGCAGGGTGAGACAAATTTGAGGGAGGTGCAAAGAGGAACGGGAGAGAGTGGAAGAGAGGCAGGGGTGAGCTAGATCTGCTTGGCTATATTGCAAAACTTTACCCTTAAGTTTATCCTTCCCCTTCCCAGAACTGAGTTTTCATTCAAGCTCTGTTTCTGCTGATTCTGGCAACTGGCTTCCTTTCCTATAGCAACTGCTGGAAAATTATCATGCTTTGCTTTCTGCTTAGGTGGCAGGTTAATTAGAGCTGCCCTGCCCATCAGGGAGAGATTTTTCTCTGCTGCTGTTGCTTCCCCCCAGCAGTCTTGTGATGCCTATGGGCAATGTCCAGAGGCTCTTGGACTAGTTGTGGAGCTGAAGGTTTTCTTGAGATCAAGGCAGTATGCTATGTGTGATTAAGAATTACATTTTGTGGTAATCTAAATATGTGGCGGCTCAATCGAAACCTGGACTTGACAGCTGTCTGTCTCAACCAATATTACTATGTCTGATTTCAAAGTTGCACTCTAGGCAGTAGTTACTGGCTTTTAAAAATTTTTTAAATACAAAATGATATGCTAGTGTTAAGTATTAAATTGAAGCTTCAGTCTTCTAACACATTTAAAAATTAAATTAAAAAATTTATATGTAAACATAATAACACCTGAAAGTATGCTGTTAAGTCAAACCATATTCAGTTTCTGCTCTTTGTTCTCCACCAAAGCAAAGTTCTGTGTGCAGTGATGTCTGCAGAGAGTGTTTCCCTTTTTCTGCCCCTGCTCCTGGAGAAATGACTCTTGTAAGATCTTTCTGTAAGTGTTTGTTTTCTCTCCCTGTCCCCTTGCCACCCTCATAAAAACTTTTAGCCAGCTGGTGGATTCAGTAAAATTCAGTGAAAGCCTTTCTGTTATGCTGGATTCTTAGAAAGTTAAAAAAGTAAAGGACAGTAGCCTGGATTAGTGTCTCCCACCAATCTGCACGTGTGTGCCAGACAACCTTTTCCTTACTTGTACTAATGTCAAAAAGGATGTGGAGTTTATTACTGGGTTTATGATGGATGGAGAGGGGGAAGGAGAAGGAATAAAAAGGCAGCATGGTCTACTTATGAATTCAAGCCCTTCCTTCAGTCTTCTCGCTGTGGAACAAAGCAGTTGAAGTTTTTTGTTTTGCTATGTCACCTAAGTGAGGTTTTAATTGTTTGGTTGGTTTGGGGGGTTTGTTTGTTTGTTTTATAATATTCATACCACTAAGTTAACTAATTAAAAGATTAATTTTTTCTATGGTCTTAAATAGTATTAAAAATTAAACATCAGGCAAGTACGGTCCTTTCTCTCCCATATGAATGTGTATGTGTACAATCGCTTTGGAGACAGTTTTCTTGTGCTCTCCTAGAACAGGTGAGATTCCCATTAAACTCTGTTAAATATATTCAATAACCTTCAACTTTCCCATCTTCTGCAGAAAAAGGCAGTCAGCTATAAAGGTCTCAGTTATTTTATTGTGGATTTAATGCAATAGCATCTATTGAATAGCAGCCCCTTTGCTTTGGTGCTGGCACCCAGTAGCTATGCAGATTGACATCATCAACATTGTAAAGCTGAATGATTTTGGAAATACCTCTATAGACACCGTTTTGGTTGGGAGAGATGACAAACATTAAAAGGACAGCTTGTGGAACATGCAACTCAAATTCATGTCATTAAAAATAAAGAGGGAGCCAAGAATGCACCTTTGTAGTACTTTGGCTTTAAGGGCAACTCAGGAGTTGGAAATTCTGCACAAATGGGAATTAAACATTTTTCTTTCAAGTAATCGCCTCCCTGTGAAAGTTCTTTGCCTTCTGCAGGTCCACATTCCCACCTGCAGCAGCAGTCAAGGGTGGGAACCCCTGGTGTAGGGCATTTGCTTACCAATGTGGCTTTCCCATCTATGCGGGTTTTTTGTTTCTAAATGTGACAGTAGAGACTCACTTCAATATTTTTTTCTTGCCTTATTTCATTAATCAATATGTCCTTCCCTTTTATACCTAGGAGAGAGATCATTGGAAGTCCTGCAGGAGTGTAGTTTTCTGGAAGTGTAAACTATGGATGGTTATAACTGCAATATTTCTAGTAATCTTCCTCGTCATTCTCATCAGCCTAATTCTTTATTCTAGTAAGTATCTCACTCTTGGTTACAGTAATACAAATGTACAATATGTACAGTCTAATATATCACAAATGCAAGAGTAGAATCCTTTAAACTCCTTCATTAAACTGCTGAAGGGACTGGGATACTGAGTGCAGAGACTGGTATGTTGAGTAGTGGATGTGAATGGTTTTGTCTTAGCATGCAGCAAGCAACTTGTATCCTGATCAGGCGGCAATTCCACTTTGTAGCTAAGTGAGAAAATGTTGTGAGAAGAGATGTGTGGATGAGGATGGAAATTATGTTTGTCATGTTGCAACAAGCACCGTGGATCCCTTAGATCCCCCTCAAGTGGTGTCATTGTCACTCAGGCTCCCAGAGCAGATGACTTTTCCTAATGGGGGTGGGTGTTTGACCTCCACATGCTGTCACTTCTCTTCAGGTGATTTGCTGTAAGACTCCAAGCCCAGGGAGCTGCCGGCTCACAGGATTGGCTAGGAATTTTGCTTTAATATATAGATGTAGGGGTTCATTAATATCTCAAGATGGCATCAAGAGAATAAGCCACAGGCTTGTTCCCAAGGAATTTCTTTATTTATTTAGGGGAGCAAATAAGGGAACTTGGCCAAAGTTCAAAAGGACACCACACAAGCTAGACAAAAATGTTCCACCACAATACTGACTCAGCACATACTATTAATCCACAACACTTAAATCAAAATCCAGTAAACCAACAACACTTAAATCAAGATACAATCACTCCAGCTCCAAACTACCCTGAGCATCAAGAAAGGAGCAGAGAAAGAGAAGCAGAGGGATCAAGAAGAGGGAAGGAGAAAGAGGGAGAGACAGATCATATAGCTACCACTGCAGCCTTGTAGAAGACCAGCTCTCACAAGTGCAGTGGCAGGGCTGCAACATGAAGGAAACACATGCCCTTGGTTTTATCTGCTCTGGTCCTCATGGACAACCCCCTAGGCAGGGTCTCTGACCCACCAGCCACTCTGGGGGTTCCAGATCATGGTGAGGGGCAGTGTTCTCACTGTCCCTGCTAATCTGAGTTGGGTGAGGAGCTGCAGGAGCTCTGGGGTGTTATAGTTTTCCTGGGCTGTTTGTGACTGACAGTTCCTCCAGAGCTTCCCCCTGTGGGCTCCAGGGGCCTGCTATGAGGGACATGACACCACCCCAACTCCATGAGGTTCGAGCCGTCCATTCCCCCTACACACACACACACACACACACACTCCCACAAGGTGGTTCTGACCCAATAATAACTGACCTGGTGTCTAACACTTGCATTTCCATTCTGTCACTCCCAGCCAGTCCTTACCTAGGAAATTTGTGAGAAAGCCACCATGGAGCAAGCCAAGAAGGTTTTTTTCAATACTTCAGCTAACTGGAACTTTTTCCTTTTCTTTCTATCTCCTTTTATTATTAGATGTTTACACAGATGAGGATGACTATTGGGATCCTGATGCACTACTAAACAGTGGAAATTTTCACAATTTTTCGGGAACATTGGAGTTAATGTGTGGTCTCCCACACTTTTTCTCTGAGGACATTACTAAGAGGGTATGTCTTGATGTGGTTCTTGGCAAAGTTGATTCTGCTTACAACATAGTTTCAGTGTTTTTCCTTTCAAGAAGTTTCTGTTTCTCTGTGTAGCAAGTCCACAAAAAAATTGAGTTGTACTTCTTAAAGTCCTGATCTAGAAAAAAAGTGTTGTCTGCTTTTAAGCACAAAAAGAGCATCTGATTTTTTCCACCAAATTTGACTAATGGTTAAGACACAGTCTTTACCTTTTTCACAGAATCATTGAATAATTTAGGAGGGGCTGGTGGAAGTCATCTAAAGCCAATAGGCACTCAAAATCCTGTATGCTGCTGCATTCTTTCATGAGTACACAATGACAGCCCGGGTTTATAGCTGCAATTTCCATCGAGCCATCATGGCTCTGAGTTACAGCTGAAATAAGCTCAGCAGGCATGGCAGTGCTCATTTAGACATTGTGGAAAGGGAGTATCAGTAGAGAAACCTTTCCCTCTACCATGTAAAAGTTAGAAGAGCTTTTTGGCACTAATGAAATCACAAACCTAACGATGTGAATTGCACATGGCAACATGAGCATACACTTTTACATCACCCTGAATGCCTCTATTGTGTTAAGGTTATATAGCAATCACTCAAATGTGCAATTAACTTTTCTGTCAAATTTAAAAGGACCGTGTACCTCTTCCAGGGCAGATATTTGCTGAAATTTGACCTTCAGTAGCTGTGTTTATGCCCATAAGATACCTTCTAGGAATGAATTGCTGTTCTTTCTTTTGTGCAGAAAAGAAAGATTGAATAGAAGAAATATGTTTTGCTTTTTTTCTTTTTTTTTTTTTCTATTCCAGCTAACAGAGGTCTACAGTTCATCTCCAGCTTTAGGACGTTACTTTAGGTCAGCTCAAGTGATTTCTTTCAGGTAAGCAATTTGTCACCAAAATTATCTGAAAATTATAGGCTTTTGATGAAATAAACACATAAGCATATGTATATATAGGTTGTTTAGGGGAAAGTTAGGTTTACAGGTAGGCAAAACTGGTCAAAGGATTCTCTGGTGTAAATGGAAAATGCTGCTAATAGTATATGACAGTAGCATTTTGTTGCTGTAAAGTATTCATCTCTGTTATTTTTGGTTCTAATTGCAGCCCTTAATAAACATATTCAAGGATATTCATTAAAGGGAAAATTAATTGATTGAGACACTTAAAATTGAAGTGGCTTAAGTAGTCTTAAATAAATAAAACAGGGTTCATGGGGAGGAGAGAACTGTTTTATTTCCAAAAGAGGTAAAGGCAACAGGAATATACATGCCTCCTGTCATGGAGAAATAGCATAGAGGCAAGGGAAGACAGAGAGCTTCCCTGAGGAGTTCTGAAAAGCTCAATTACAAAAGGAATTAGAAAGATGGGAGAAAATCAAGGAAAGTAGATTCACAAAGTCCCAACCCTTGCGAGGGCAAGGACAGAGATAGAGCTACCCTGGGATGTGGCAAGGGGCAGTCCTGTGGTCACTTTGCTCACTTGAGGGAATATGCTCCCTTGCACTGCCAGCCTTGGGCATGCCAGCTCTGTTCCATGGTGAACTGTAGCTTCTAAGCCTTATTTCCTCTATGCCTAAAAATTACGATTTAGACCATCAAGTACAAAGGTCTAGTTCTGCATATATATTGATCAGCTGATCTCTCCCTCTCTGCCTCTTTGTGTGTCTCTCTCTTGCTGCCTCTATCTTTGTTTCCTTTTATTTTCTCACATTCAACTACTTTTTGTAATGTTTAAGTTCTGTAAGCACAAAATGTAACTGTCGAATTGTAGACATTGGATGAAGAACGAAATCTCCAGAGGTGGTCTCCCATTCACTGGTTTGTGTAATCCACTCTAGACTGAGTTAGGAGCACAGCTGGGTGATCCCAGGTACTGCTGGCAGGAGAGCAGACCTTTCTGCATGTTCCTAGCTAAGCCATGTACATGCTATTGCAACATCTCTTATCAGTGTGTACTTGTGAAGCAGGGGTGCTGAAAACCACACCCCATTAGGACACATGTCCAACTGCCCTTTGTGCATTTGAAAACATGTCCCTGGCTGGCTTCAAGTACATACCCAGTTTCAAGAGCCGTTCTGAGAAGGGAGGAGATCGGAGGAGGAAACTGGAAGCTTTGATGACAGTTTTCTTTTATAATGCTTTTCTTTAGAAAACATTCTAAAAAAAAAATCCATGTCAACATTGATACGTAAAGACAGTCTTCTCAAAAAAATAAAACATCCAGGGGGAGCTTGAAGGCATTCATACCTGACTTTGTTTTTCAGTAATGAAAGCTCCACTGTAATTTATCAGCTAGTGTTTTCTGTACCACCAACAACAGAAGGATTTATGGAAAACATTATGAACCCAGATTTTATAAGGAACATTTTACGTCAAAATATTTATGATGAAGATGATACTTTTAATCCTGAGACATCTGAATGTGACAAGTTAAAGCTTGACCGAACTTCTCTCACATGTAAGTGCTGTACGTTATAGAAACTGTTTCTTTACAAAGAGCAGAAGCATTTTATGGTAAAGAAGGGAAATAATTCTAAAAAAGTGTTGATATTTGTTAGGAAATATATGTTGCACAACAACATTAAGAACAGTGTAAAATAGTTTTGAGAAAGTCCTGCTATGCATAACTTATTACCAAGGATTCAATGTCAGGTGCTCTGATCAGAAAGGGAATAGTGATGAGACTGGTCAGCTATGGACTCCAACCAAACTCCTTAAATCTATTCTTACTTTTTTTCTATACAAAGAAATTCTCCTCATATGTGTGTGTACCATAGTGGGGAGACAAAAAATGAAAAATATTTATCCTTATTGTATATTGATTTCTGAATGTTTACAAACCAAATTTTAATCCAAGTAAAACAGGATAAGTAATTTGAGATTCAATTTCTCAGTTTTCTTTTTCACAATCACGGGTGAAAAAGACTTCTGATTTTTGTCTCTTTGGAAGTTTGGGGTTTTTTGCACAGAGATACCTTTTAAAATCACCAAATATTCATTCTCCTAGGTTTTCTAAGCAGTGATTCCGATGACTAGCAGTGACTAGCCAGCGATTCCAACAAATTTATATTTGTCTTGATAGAAATGCTAGTATAAAAGTCCCATGAGCTTTGCAGTTATAATGAAAACAATGCACAGAGCTTCTTCCCCCACCCCCAGTTTGCTAAGCCAAACTTATGTGCTTTCAGAATAATCCTAGGCCAAAGCTTCAGCATGCAGTGTATATCATGATTAACTCATATTAAAGTTTCATTTTAATTTTAATATTGTACTGTTTTAACTTTCAGAGAAATGATGGAAAAGTTCCTCGTCTTCATCACCACATAGAAGAGATGACATCTCCTATCTGTTAGTAATCCCAGGGCAGGGAGCTATTCATTAGGTAGAAACACTTCTAAATACTGCCTGTGATGCAATATTGTAAATGGAATATGTGGCATATTTATAACAGTGTTGCACTCCTACACCACCACTACCTCCTTCTTAATTGTCCTGATACCTCAAAAATCCATTTTGCTCTTGTGAAAATCATACATCTTCTCTGATGCATGCTCTGTTGACTTTGAAAGCTCTGCTTTGTCTTGCCTTTTGTTTAAATCTGAATGCTCTGTGCAAGCTTTAAAAGTGGTCTTGCACATGGCTTTCTTCTTCTCTTGGTTTATCCAAAATTATCTGCACGGCTTCACCCTTAATGCTCACTTTCACCCATACTGTTACTTTTTTCTCTCCTAGCTTCATATGCCATGTTTTCCCATTGCTCCTTTCTTGTAAAACAGCCTGAAAACATATATATATATATATGTATATGTATATGTATTCTTTAATTACATGCAAGACCTTTGCACTAGATTCTCAAGAAAGCTTTAACTCTCCTTATTCATCCTAGAGTCTTCCTGGATAAGGTGGTATCTGCTCTATTTTTCTCTTCTTCTGTGTGAAATAGAAAAGAAGGAAGAAACATCGTGAAGAAACACGTCTTGTTCACTAACACTTCTGAATGTCACAGGAATCTATCAAGGGTCAAATTAGCCGTGTGCTTTAATAATTAACTACTGCTGTTAGTGAGTAGACAGATATTTCACCCACATTTGTAAATCTGAAGACAAACTAGTCCACTCCCTTAGCTATAGTCCCTGTCCCAGCACTGGGGATAAAAATGAACAGATGCAAGATATTTGCCTTAATAAGGCAGCAAATAGTTGTTCTTGTTGATGAAAGATCAGATGAGATGGATCAATGTCAAGAGGAAGATGCTGAAGCAGACCATGTAGATCAGCATGGCATGAAAGTTATAAACAGTACCTGACTATGACCTGAAAATGAAGCATTAACTTTATGCAGAATGGAATGTATTCACTACCATGTTAGTGAAGTATACCTTCTTGTCATTTATTTATAGCCTGTTGGATAGACAGACACATTTATTTTAAGAAACATTTTGTATTTTAAGAAATACCTTATGGTAAATTGTGTTTTCTAATATTACTAGTTTATTTAAGGAGTAATCTGTCAATGTTATTGTGCATTAAATTATTTTTAGTCTTAAAGTGATTGTTTTCAAGCTTCATTCTTTCAGGTGTTTGAACTGGAAAATAACCTCTGGAATTCTAAATGCTGAGAGCTGTACGAAGCTTCTGTCTGACAGAGCTGTACACTCAAACCCACAGTTGTTCTTACGTTAGTTTTATCTGAACTTGGGAAACATTCTGGACCAAATTAGTAGTTCACATAACTCTCCTATTTGTGGGTAATTCTGATCCCATCTTGAGTTGTAAAACATAGCATTGGCTGTAAGAACCATAATTTCTCTTGCTGTAATTTTCTATGCAGCATAGAGCTAGGAGAGGTATTCATTTTGATTCTTATACTGGGGAAGGATAAACTTCATGGCCTGTATGGTTTGTCCCAAAAGCAGCAGGCTATGAAAGTACCAGCAGCAAAGAAAAAAGTTGCTGTTGAGATGCTGCTCAAATTTACTGCTCTTACTAAGATGCCTGAACATATCCTTAAACACTTCATCTCAATTCTAAGAACTGAAAAATAATGTAATGATTAGACTTCTTTATGGTGATACCCCTATGAACATTAAGAGTTGAGAGGAAAAAAAGGAGACAAGCATTCATTTTTTAGCCAGCCATCCTCCTCTGCCCCAGTACCTTAACCTCAAGGAAAGAAGGAGGTGGAGTTGTAGTAAGACGTGATATTAAACAGAAAATATCCAACTTCACAGTTTACATCCAGTCAGATTGTATTAATTATGATTCAGTTCATTAGGGACACAGCAGTATGAAAACACATTATTTCATCAAGTTAGATATTTTGTGTGGATGCTTAATGTGAATTTTAATAGAAGGAATGTGGGTAATACTTTAATGACTGAGACAACTGAGACGCTGTTAAAAAGCATCTTATGGAGTGTGCAACCAGCCCTTTAAAACCCCCATAGCAGGTAGTCATCTGTGCAGCCACAGCAGCCAGTACCAGTTTTGGGCAGGCTCAGCTGCCTGTCACAGCAGTGGTACCTGCAGGCAGTCTGTGTCCTTCCATGCTACGTCCAACCATTAACCCGTGGGACTGCCCCCGGCACCGAAATGGCAGGTGGGAGTGGCAAAGGCACCACACCACAAAGCCAGGGCTGCAGCCAGCCATCACAGACAAAGGAAGACTTAAATTCGGGAAAACTGTGCAAGATTTTCTTCCAAATTGCATTGTTACAAAAATGGAGGGAGCAAAAAAACATGCTCAAGCAAGAAAACAGGCACATAATCACTTTGTGAGCTCTGGCAAACAGTTGAATAACCAGTTTCAGTCCTTTGCGTGTGTCCAGAAATACTGCTTGCAGAGGGGTGATGGGCTCTGAGGAGGTTATATTCCAGCATTGCAGAAAGCCAAACCTGAGACTCCAGCAGGAGTGAGCTGCAAGAGTTGTGTCATGGAAACAACACCTGGGCTTCCACTACTGAGAGGTAGTTGTCACCTGGGCAGCATCAGTGCTCACACTCTTCTGAGAGGGTGTAATGTTTGTTTTGCATGCAGTTTATTGGGTTTTTTTATTTAATTCCAACTTCATTAAGACTTCACTCTTAGACAAGTAGTACATTAAAAGGGGAAGGGGGGAATTTGAGAAATGAGTTGTTTATAAAAGTTGTGCATTGTATAATAGTATTAATCAGGCAGGACAGAAAAACTTTGGAAAAGTGTAAGCGCATCTAATACAAGGTTTATGCTCTCATTTAAAACATAAAAGGTCCCCCAAACAAACAAAATAACCCTGTTATTATTGCATTTTTGAGATTTAACACACCCTTAAAAAGTATTATAAAAGTCCAGAAAAAATGTGCAGCCTCAGTTGCTTCTAACATTGAAGCTCCTCATTTTCTATAGAGGAACGTTGTCTTTATGATAGCAGTTGCTACTGATTCCTCCTGGTTTAGTTGTCAAGTCCTGTACCCTGTCCACGTTTCTTTCTCTGATCCCCTTTTCATGGACAGGTTTGTCTCACAGGAAATGACTGGTGGATGTATCCTAATATGTAAGCTTGGGGCCAAGAGAGAGAGAGAGAGAGAGAGAGAGAGTTGTTTGTTTGAAGACCTGACAGCAGAGGTAAGATGGTTATCACGGCTGCATACACTGAAGTAAAAGAGTGCCTTCTAAGTTACCAGGACATCATCATATTCACTATATTCTTCAGGGCTGGTGATAGTTTTCTTCGCCCTGGGCACTTTTACAAGTGCGTATTCTGTCTGATTATTGCCATCAATCTCGGAGGCTTCATGTTTTACATTGTGGCTGAGAGTCGAGTACCACAGTTCACTGGAATTCATAGAATCTCTTTTGGCAGCATGTTCCTGAGGGTGGAAGTGGGAAAGAGAGAAAGAGTGAAGGTCAACACGATTATACCCCGAAAAAGCTGAACGAGCCTATACACTCACCCAGTGCTATTGACCACTATACACAGTACCAAGAAGGGTTTGTACATCCACAGTCATTTCCCTACTGCACAGGCTATGGTGGCACACCTGGAGCTCCCAACAACACATGGATACCTGGTGCGGGTGGAGGGTGAAGGCCTGACTCTTGTCCTGAGGTACCACCACTGCCAGCAATGGCTTGCATGGTGAAAGCTCATCACCACATGAGGGAGCACAGCAGCACAGTTGCAGCCAGCAGCCCTGCCCCAGCTCCCCCCAGGGCTGTTCCATAAGGGAGATCATCCCGGTGAGCCTAAGGTGATATTCACCCAACCAATGAATGGGAGCTGATGGGAGTGGAGGGAGAATTGTGTGGGACATTAATACAGTGTATGTGAAGGGAGTGTTCTTGGGATTTGCACAGGATTTAACATGGGGTGTTTAGAAGAGGAACTAAAGGGAGGGTTCAGGGTGATTTGCAAAGTAAAGTGCATAAGAAAACAGGGGAATAAAGGGAGGGATAGAGGAGTCACAGCCAGTTGGCAGAGAGACTGTAGGGTCTAAGACCCCAAGTGTGCGTGTTGTGTGTGTCTGTGCAGGAGACATGCTGTCCTGGAAGGGGCCCTGGCCTCACTGGAGATGAAGTGATGGCTAATCCCTTCCCTGGCAGTCCTCATCTAATGCTCTCTGTGAAAATAGAGGGAGGAGAAAGAAGAGTCCCTCCCAACTCAGAATATTCTCTAACTCCTGTCTGCTGTAATTTCTCTAAGAGCCATTAGCGGATGAGGTAAGACTGTGTGGCCAAATGCTTTCCCAACTCTGTTTAGACTTGTCCCTCCTTTTGCCTCTTGAAGGTGTTTGCTAACGGGTCGTGGGTGATTGTGCATCTAAATAGCTAGCAGGATGACTCATTAAATCTAAAGGGACAATGTGAAATGATTAAGTACTTGGAGCCGGAAGTTAAAAATTTGTTTGCTCTGGTGTTCTTGATTTGAACCCACTGGCTAATGAAGCCAGTGAGTAAGTACAGGCTTTATAGTGATTGTCCTCGGTAGTGGTAGTGTTTTAAAGTGAGTGTTGCTGGGTTCATGATGACATTTATAGCTACCTTTCACACTCTGTGAGTGTAACAGTGGTCTCTGCTTCATGGGTTAAAACCCAAAAAATGTTAAATTCTATTTTTCAAACCTAGAAGTGAGAAAGAATTCTTAGAACAAAATTCCTACAGAATTTGTCTTGGATTTTCCAAGTTTATGTAAATCGTATTGTCTGTATAGATTCTGCTTGAATTTCTGTGTGAAAGGTCTCCTGACCTTGAGGACACTTCACCAAAAGTAAATCCTGAGTTTTGATTTGGGGCTTTATAAAATTTTGAGATTTAGAAATTCCAGAAATTTTAAGGACCAAAGCGGTCAGGGTAGACTTGGCTAAGAAAAGGAATTTCCTACCCATCTGCAAGTGCATGGCTCTCTCACCTAGTCATGATTGCAAAGAATTGGGAGGACAGCAGTGTTTCTCTTAATGTGCCTATGAAATGAGAATAGTCAGGCTCTTAATTTTCATGAGTTACTGGCTCCCAGTCCACTGAGTGAAGTCTGGAGTACCTCTTGTCTGTCAAACATACAGGTCTCTAAGCAAGACTTGCTCATAGCCACATTTTCCAGAATCCTCCCAGTCTTCATGTTTTAAAAGGTTATTACCATCAACCTTCTCTTCTCAGTGGGGAGATCAAAGTGCAGAGGTGGAGTGATTTCTCCCACATGCCAATGGTGCAGGAGGAGCAAGAGTGAAGACCTTCATTATTCACAGGCCAAATGTAACATCAGATGTCCTACTGCACTAACAATCCTCCTGGGACTGTCTTTGAACCATGCTCTGGAGCTTTTACTCAGGACACCAAAAATTCTCAAAACTTGACAGCTACTTGGCAGGTTCCCCATTACAGTTCCACCCCCTTCTTTTCCCCCACAATCCATCCCACACTTACATGTACAAATGATGAACTCATTTAATCACACCATTTTCTGTCATCTTGCCCACCTTCTTCAAAATTTTCTGCTAAACACCCACTTGTCTGCTGGACACCAACTTTTGTTTTACTGATGTCATCTTTATTGAAAAAAACCCTAAAACAACCCAGTTAGGCTGCTAAATGGCAGTGCTTTGTTCTGCGGTACATAGGGCTCCTGGTGATCGTTGGTCATCAGAGACTTGAGGCAACTTCACTAACCCTCTGCTAAAATGAACTATTTACAAAGCAGAGGTAGCAAACCACAGGTACTCATCTGCTGCTTCTCGAAGCCCAGTGTATTAACAGAGACAAACAAGCACACAAGACTGAGGAGTGCAGCAGTTGAGAAGTGGCTGTTCCCCCACCCCTGCCTTCCAGGATGATAAGTTCAGGCACAGAAGCAGGGAACATACCAGCTTATAGAGTTACCTCTTAAATTACTGTGGGTTGCATTGCCAGAATTCCTAAATCTAATCCTAAACTAGAGAGGCAATTAGGACTGGGCAAAGTGTTTATCAGTCTTTTATGTGTTGCAATGCAACCATTTGCTCCATTCTGGTTTATAAGAAGCTAAATGCATGACCTGAAGGGGCATTTTTGGTTGGTTATTTTTTTTCTTTTCTTCCTTCTACAGTCAGTGGGACATTGGAAAGGGAAACCTTATTCTGTTCCAACGGAGACTTAGCCATTTGTTGAGGCATCAACAAATTTACATTTAAATTACATTTACAGTGTAAAGATTAACCTTTAAGCCTCAAAGCATTAAAATTCCCATTGTTTTTCAGCTGAAGATTTCTTTTATTACTAAACCTGGTTGGCCATAGCCCAGTTAAATGATTTTTAGAAAATGTCATGTTGAAACTGAAACTTTTTGTGGAAACATCTCAGTAGTCAAGGGAGACTACACTGGCTACCAGAAAGCTGAAGGGAGGAGGGTAGAGGATAGAGAAGCACCCCCTCAGCTGTAACTTGTGCAGTGGCTGGGGACACTCACCCAGGACATGATCCCAAGGTTCAGCCTCCTGAATTGTCTGATTTGGGCCAGGCAGCATTACACTCAGCCTTGGAAATTATGAGTGAGTGCTGCAGCCTGTTTGGCCGCTGGCTGCCCGAGACTGGGGCTGAGTATCAATGCTACAGTTGTCTATGCATACACTTATTTTGTACGTAGGCTTAAACTGATGTTTTTCTGTGTCCCAAGCAAATACACTGATTATGGACTTTTCTCTCTCCCACAGGAACATGACTGACACCACGTCTTTCTGATACATTAATGTTTTGATTCAGTTACCCCGGAGAGCAGCAAAAAAAAAAAATTGCTTTTAGTCTTTACCTTGATGGTACTTGATGGATAGCTGTAGGTCTCTGCTGAGGAGAGAGGAAGAAAACACGTGATTGTCATGCTTTGGTGCAGCGACATGAGACAAGGATTTTTGGCAGCACAGGACTTAGCTACAGACGGAGCACAGGCTGTGCAAAAGCATGAGCTCACGTGGCATTAGTTGGGGAAAGAGTTGAACCTCTGAGGGCTAAATAAATCTGATGATTTATCTTCTCTCTAGTTCAACACACACTTGTGTCATGCAGTAGTGCTCAACGACCTCAAGAAAACCTAGATTTGCAGCCTTATTGGGTTTTTCTTTTTGTTGTTTTGTTTTTGGGGGTTTAATTAACTGAAGTCAGTTGTACATGTCTGCTTAGAAATGGATGATCTTGCTTGCTCACGCTCTGACTCTGCTTTAGCTTTATGGCCAACGAAACCTGAATTGTGCCTGGGATCACCGGCTGGGCGCTGGGGCTCAGAGGCACTACATGATGTGCCACATGCCTGACTGTGCACTGGGTGTCTGCGTGCATGGGTCTGGCAGGCTTGAGCCGTTCTGGAAATTTGCCTCTCTGTCCCATAAGTGTCTAAATGGCAGAGGGCTGTCATTTGCATCATGCTCTCAGCCTTGTTTTTATCAGTCTAGTTCATTCTTGTTATGAGGCTGATTGCTCCTCTAAAATTTTAGAGCTGAGTTTTCACTTTTGCCTAAGAGAATGGGATTTTTAAGCATACTTTTTTTGCAACCTGACAGAAGGAGAGACATCTGTCTCCCGGTATTGTGTTAAAGCTGCTATCTTAGAGAATTTGAGGTGTTTTCAAACATTATTGTGCTGCCTTAAGACTGCCATGAAATTGCTGATGTAAATGACTAACAAGAAACTGTTTTTTGCTAAGCAAATACTGCAGCTCGTGAAAATGGTAAAAGTATTATGTCTTTGCTACATGAATGGCTTCACCCACAGGGGAAAAATGTAGCAGTCTGAATCGAAACCAAGACCTCCTGATTCACATGAACACATGTGATCCTGGCTATCATGTGAGTCTTCCCTATTTGCATATTCAATATGCAGAAACTGTTTTATTAGGAGAATGTGTCATACTGACGTGTGTTTAGAGAAAGTTCTAAACTGTGCTTGTGTAGGGGAATGAGGGCTGGTGTGTGACCAAATGCAGGCTGTGCTGTGCTGGCAGCCCACTTCCTTCAGCAGCCCTCCACCTCATTTGCAGGGGATGAAGCAGAGGCTCCCCTGCTCTGGTTCAAGTGCTTGCAATCCTGTTTGGGATGTAGGAAGGCCAGGTTCACCACTGCAGGAGGCAGCTGCAAAGCGGTGGCTGAGGCACGCATGGTTTTGTAGCTGGAGAGGACAGCTGCCCCCTCATGCTGCCTTCTCCAGAAACAAAATAGACCAGAGGCCCCAAGATATCCCCAAGATATCCCCAGGAACGCAGATATCCCCCATTGGATGCAAGGAGGTTTCCCTCGGCTGGAGCGCAAAATGCCTGGTCGTGGCTGCTGCCCACCACATCCGCAGCGATGCTGGATGCTGGCAGAGAGCTCCCCCTTGCCCCCACCCATGCGATGCCACATCACCCCCGAGGTGCTCAAGGAACCTCTTTACTTACTTTGCTTGTGGGAATATCTTTTTCTCCTGATCGGGATGGGTATTTTCCACCTAGGGCATGAAAATAAAGGTGAGAAGGTAGGTCTGGCACTTCATAGTCCTCATCCTCACTGCCAATCCATGGGCACCTGTGTTCCCATAGGGAGACCCCTTCTCCAGCTTTTTGGATAAGGCACTTTATTCAGCTTCTCTGCTGCTGTTCTCCCCTGGAGGCAGTCCCTGGCAAGGCATCCAGTTCTGCCCTGGAAGCTGCAGGAGCAGGGGCTGTCGCAGGGGGGTAGAGGCACAAATCACCACTCGGAGGATGGAGGGATGGCAGGGACAAGCTGGTGGCTGTTGGCAGGTGTTACAGCACGTAGCTATTCGTGGGAAGTACAGCCTGTGTCCCCCTGTGAGGAGCCTGGCAGCACCTCTGCAAAGTTTGTGGATTTGAGGAGCAATCAGCCTTTCTGGGCTTGTCTGTATTAAGTACCTCTAGATGAGTGAGTGAGCGAGCAGTAAATATTGGAGAGAGATAGCGGAGAACCAGTCTCATGCTCCCACAAATGATCTACATCAATCTGACCTTTAGTGTGTCTTGGTGAAAAGCAAAAGGAAGAAAAACACAGCAGTTGTGCAACACAAATTGCAAACACACGGGTGAGTGCAAGGCTAGCAGACACGACAGCTTCTGGGACATCTGTCTCCAGCAGCTGAAATAATCCTTGCTGTTTCAAGCAGAAGACTATACTTCCAGGTTTAGGTACTGAAATTATTTGGCAAATTTGGAGCCTTTACATTATGTTCAGATTGCTGTTACCGTGTTTCTTGGTAATAAGAACTAGGCTTGCCGGGGTGTGCGTTATCGCTTATGGTTTAAAATGTTGTGTTTGTACAATGCCTGTAATGTACAAGCATTTTGCAATGTAGTGTTAATATTTATATCTTAGTTTTACATATATAATAAAAATGCACTAAGGGGTGTGAAGCTGCCAAGTCATATGAACTTGAGAAATATGCCCAACTTGCTGACGGAGGTACATTATGAGTGGGTCTCTAATTGCTTATTTGCATATTCTCTTTCCCAGTACTGAGGTAAATAGGTGATGCCATGATCTTTTGTTGTTGATACTTTCCCTGATAAATGTGTGCTCTTTGGTCTCATTTCTTCTGTATACTACCTAAGTTCGGCAACTCGCCTGAAATAATTTCTTTCTATATATGCCTCTGGTGCTTTTATAAGACTAGCAGAAAGTTTTGAAAATATTAGTAAACTTCCTAACTTTCTGTTTAGTGGGAGGATTTAGATTGCTTTCATTACAGCTGTGTATAAAAATAAAGTTATAATCCTACCTCCTTCCAGGTTGCCTACTTGATTTTCTCTGAATTATGTGTAGTGGTTTTCCTACACTGAGCACAAACTCCTCTACCCTAGTTGGAGATGCAAGGGGGACTGTTTCATGTAATTCAGTCCTAGAATTCCTATGAGATACATTTAAAATAAAATATGTATGTATATTTATAATACACGTAATTCACATTTGGAGTCTATTGTAACTGTCAAGCATCATGAGTTTAAGTATTTTCTTTTCTAACCTTTATTTATTCCACTTTTTCTTGTTTATATTGAGTTGGCTTCTGATTTTCTTAGTCTCTGGCTCAGGGGGAAAGGCTGTTGGGCTTGGGTAGCTCTTCCCCAGGACTGTCAAAAGATAAATAGCATATGTTGATCTAGCAAATTAGACCTGTAAATTGCTGCACAGCTCTCAGATAAATTCTAATTTAGTCAATCATATGTAATCCTGTGGGAAAATATGTCGTGTGGTCTGAGAATTGAAAGCATTTCTCAGCATCTGCATTCACGCCACAGATATGGTGACTCTCTGAGGCAGGTCCCCAGCAGTTAGAGGAAGGGAGCCCAACTTGCCTATGGTTGGAGGGGTTCTAGGGGTTGGCTCTTGACGGGTTTTTTTGGAGGCAATTAAAGGCATAGCCTTATCAGTGAAACTGCTGGGAAATAGTTCTGACCAGCAATCTCAAAAGAGGAGAAATGTGACTCAACTATTAAAATGAAAACGAAGGCAGAATTCCTTTTCTTTCTTTCTATAGTTTCACTTTGCTCTTTGCAGAGCAGCTGCATGAGCTGTCATGCTCGGGAAGTGGTCAACCCAAATATAGAAGTGCTGCTTAAAAGTGAACTCTTCAAACAGAAGGGATGAAGCGGCAGACTTGGGGATGTATAGGAAAAAGGAAAGAAAGTCAAGAAATTAATTAGAGGAAGCAGCAGAGGCTATGGATAAATGACGGGGTCTGAACTCTGCAATGTTTTCTCCCAGCAGCTGCAGCATTAAGCACCTGCTATTAAGAGCTCAAGTTTGTGTTAGGTCTGCTTCATACACCTGAAATTAAGATTGCTTTCAATCTGACTTTACTTCAATCCAACTGCCAAAGGACCAACAAATAAGGCAGTGGGTGCACTTTCTGTCCATGAAGGGGGGTTTCTTGGGCAGAGGTAGTGGGATGCTGCTGGTAAGATCACACAGAGACCCACTGAGCCACCTTCATGAGCCACCAGCCCCCCCTGCTTCCAGAAATAGGATGCTCCTCTGAACTGCTGTGGGACTTGACAGCACCAGCTTTAAGGAGCAAGGGCTTCAGTGGGGAGCCGCTGCAGCTCTTGTCTCCATCTAACTTGGTGTCCCTCAACAAGAGGTTACTGGTCCAGAAATAGCTGGACCTTCCTCCAGAAATATCCAGTTCCCACTTGACTCCTTAAACCCACCACCTCTGACACAAAACTGCCAAACCTGAAAAAATCCCCACATCCAACCAAGCGAAAAAGTGTCATTCTTGCTCTGTGTCTGGCTGCTTGGCAAAGAATGCCCAATGCCACACCACTTCAGTACATTTTAATTCCTGTCACCCCTGTAATTGGCTCTGGCCCCTCCTTCTTGGGACCCCACTGGTTGTGGCTGCTCAGCACTGACATACAGACTAATTCACCTGAAGCTGATGAACTTTTCCTGCCAGTCTCACGGGAGTGATAATTTGGGATTATTTCCTCCACCCGACTGTCAATTTTCCCAAGCCTTGTAGATACTGCACCACCTGCAGGTGCCCCTTTACTTTAATTTTTTTTCCAGGTCTGGTTAAGGTTACTCAGGAGAGATACTGACAGCTGGATGATGTACCTGCATGAGCCTCATTCCTTAGGAATTTGGTGTGGATGGGCTGACTTCCACAAGTTACATGCAAATTTTATGTTGCAACCTGAGCTATCTCTTTAGGCTGACTCTGAGCTTGCCCGGTGCTGTGGAGCAGAGGAGCCTTTCCCAGTTAACCCTCAGTCTCTGCAGCTCATGCTGCCTAGTGACTGAACATCTGCAGCACCAGAGCTTTGCAAGGATGCTGAGTCGCTCCATAGGAATGGCTATTTCACTGAAAAAAAGCCACAAACAGGCAAAAAAAAAACCCTACCCTTGTTATTTCTCCATCCCTCTGAACCTCCACGAGATCTACGATTTTTTTGAAAGACGCGACTTCATGACAGAGGAGTGACATGGTACACAAAAGTCACACCAGGCTGGCACAGCTCATTGACAGGAGCTGCAGTGAGATGAACTGCACTTTCTGTCCTGCAAGGGCAGCTGGTCAATGCTCTCCCTGAGTTACTTCTCCTGGCAGTGATTTGTTAGAGTTTTTGACAGTGAGGAAAACAGACTGTGGATGAGCACAGGCTGGGACACAGCACCATGCTGGTGCTGCCTTTTACAGCAGTGGCCCTTCCTCCCCTCTGCTCTCATGAGGGATATGGGGTTCATGGCCTTGTCAAGCTAGAAGGAAAAATCTGCTTTACACAACCCTTGCTCAGAGTTCTGATTCCTTCTCCCAGAAAGCAGTCAGGAATGATTTCAAAAGGATCAGAAGTCCCACCTGTAAGTGTGACACAGCCACTTAAAGCGGTGGGTATTCTGCCAGCCTGGGAGCAAAGAGCCTGGAGCTGAGACCCTGAGGGAGTGTGAGCTCATCTCTGCTCCTTGCTACCACAGGAGAGGACCCACCAGCTTCACATGGATTTTGCTGGCCTTGACTCAAAGTGCTTTCGAGAGTAAGGCTTCATGCTTTGGGGACTTTTACCCTTTCCCTCAAGGCCAGGTAAAGTGGTCATGACTTAGACGTCTGGACACAGACCTGCAGGGAGATGAGGGATGGATTCTCTTTGGAAACCAGCAGAACATTTAATTTTGGCAATGGGGTGCCTCATCTGAGCACCGCAAGACCAAGTAAGCAGTCAGGATACCATACGCAGAGATTGCAGGACCTTTTCTCTGACTTACCAAGAAAACAAGGGCAAAGAAAGGGAATTTTCCACCTCTCCTAGGGGGCTCCTGCTGAGCATCCTCCTCTGTCTTCACAGCTCCTTAGGAGACAATCTATTCCTAACCACTGTTGTTCTTAACTGTAGCACACTTACATATCTCATGTACAGCATTTAAATACATTGTACAGTTTAATCTATTTTTTTATGTGTATATAAAAGCTTGTTTTTATGAGACATGGTGCTAACAGATAAGACATGGCAAGGTGAACCTCTACATGTAATTTTCCTTCCTGGAAACTTGGAGCAGATGACAAGTACTTTCTGTTCCTTGCGTTCCTCACCAGGACGAACACCCATCCTCCCTTCAGCAGGCTCTCCATGCTGGGAGCCTACAGATGAAGTCACCTCCCTAAGAATCATCCTGAGGTAATACTCTTTGACATACTAAGAACTATGTTGTTCATCTTAGTTTGCTTTCTAAATTACCTTTCTTTAATCAAGAGGCTCCTCTCGGTGCCTTACATTGTCTCTTAAGTCTGATTCACTGAAGGTATTATTTGCTCCAATTTTAATGGAATTGCTCTCTTAATCCTCTTGTTTAGTAATTAAATATAAAATGGTATTGGACCTACCTTATTTTTGGTGGGCAGTTTCCCATCTTTCCACTGGATCTCTGCACCTTGGGTAGCCAATTTTGGTGTGGTTTCCTTTCTGGCTAGATTGTTTTCTATACTGTCTGTGTTACAGAATGAAACTCAGTGACCAAAGCAGCTCTCACACTGTAAAACATACGCAGGACCTAGATGTTGTTCACCTACAAAAAAAAACCCCACCCCAAAGCCTCCACTGCATGAAAACCTTTTGAGTGGGGGTGGGAGAGGAAGAAGGGTGGAGTGGATGAGTGATGTGGTTTCCTGGGACACTGGCCTGTGTGCTGGTGCTGATGACCTTAATGAAGTGATTAGGGGGCTGCAGCATGGACTCCCTCTAGGTTCCCTTGACCAAAAATAGTAACTTAGGGTGCTTTTGGCAAGAGGAAACCACATGCCTGGCCATCTCACTCTTCTGAGAAATGGTGTGACGCATTGAATGGTAAAAACCAAACACTTCAAACCCCAACGAAGCACAGCCTTTCCTACTGAAGCTTTCCAGTGCAGTCTTTTTTTGCTTCTTCCTCTCCTTTTTGTCTTTTTTTTTAATTATTATAATTTTTATCCCTTTCTCTTCCTCCTCAGCTACAAGGAAGAAACAAAATAGAAGAACCAGAAATACTATTTGCAGGGTCGGTGGTTTGGGGAATGAGCAAGTTTTTGTTCACACATTCTAATTGTGGTACATTGCTGGAAAAGAAAAACAAATCTCTGTAAGACTTTAGGTGTCTGCAACAATTTCATCAAAACTCAGAGGTAAGAAGGATTGGGCACTTAACAGGACAGTTTGACAGCATGTGCTGTCCCCTGGGAACATGTCGTTTTGCAGATAGATGTATACCACCACAAGCTAGGTCTCAGCTTATTAGCCACCTCCTTTTCTTCTCTTTTGCTCTTTACTAGGCAGTCCCACACTGGATTTCAGCAGCAGCAGCTGTAACTTTTAGCTGACAGCAGTGTGTTAGCAGAGGGAGGAAGTCCAGTTTGGGGAGAGATCACAGATCAAATACCTCCAATCCAAACATGACATGATAAACAGCTGTATCTGTGGATAAACTACCCTTGTGTTCTCTGATCTTAAACTTGTGCACAAACGTGACAATTTGTCCATAACTCAGTGCAGATGAGCACCACTCAATCCTGCAGCACCCCTTGGCTGCGGATTGCAGGTCCTGCTGCAGCTCACCCTGGTGCAGTGACATAGGCTGGAGCATATGTTGGTAGATGCAGATGCTGTCTTTACCCCAGTACTGCAGCTCTCCAAACTCAGTGGACATGTGGAGGGATTTGCCGTATGCAGGCAGTACCTACAAATACGTTATAAAGTTCCAGGCCTGTTCAACTGCATTTGACAAGCTGCTTCCCAGCAGCAGTACCTACTACTAGTACTGGGGAACCACCCTCCAAAAGTCAGTGCAAATCAGGAGTGGATGAAACCATCCCCACCTGTTTTGTTCTCTTTACAGGCAATGCCTTGAGAGGTGGCACTGAATTCTGCTGATGAGGTAGGTAGCTGCCCAGTTGTTAACCTGGGTTTGGGTGGTTAAAAAACCAGTGGTTTAGATTGATGGTTGACAAAACAATGTTTTAGATTCCAATTGTGCCTGAGTGGTTCCCATTGGGAACATTTTCTGGAGGTTCATCCGTATGAGTCACTCTATTAGTCATTTGGGCTGTGGGGAAAAGTTGGCATTTCATGACTGTGCAATTAATTCTTGTATGTCCTTTTTTGATTTACTGGAAACTAGAGAGAACATCCTGGTGAAGCAGAAAGGAAGAAATGAACGTGAACCACTGGGTTTTTCAAGCAGTAGCTGCAGAACAATCTTCTGCCTGATTTATTCCCAAGCTTTCACTGACTTTAAAATGTGACTGAAGCTCAGGCATGGTGTGCAGTTCTCAGAAATGAAGATGCTGTGCAACTAAAGCAGAGGAGCATGAGATTTGACTGACAAGGAAGGAAGAGGCCTGTAATCCACCAAAAGTCTATGTAAAGATGAACAGAGCAAGAACTGTCTGAATATATGCACTTAAAGATACACTCACAAAATTTAAATAAGTGGTGGGGTTAATGAGTGGATCTCATACTTCTGCCTGCCTTGTGTTTAAAGTAATTAATCAAGAGCTGATGTTGCCCGGTCCCCGGAGAAAGGGAAGGGATCAGACAGAGATGCTGCAGCAGTGTGCATGCAGACACCCACCCAGGTAGGCTGGTAGGGAGGTCTCCACATGCTCAGAACGTGGAAAAAGGCAGAGCTTGGAAAGAGCAGCCAGAACACATGGCTTTTATCACCAGTTATGCTGGGTATACAGGGGTGCTGCAAATGGAGCCAAGAAATTTTTCCCACCATTTTTCCCACCTCTGTCCTTTGCTAAGACTCAAGGTTTGATCTTTATCAAGAAGTGTTTGCTCTAGCAGCACACAGATTTCAGGGTATTGGAAGATTACAGTGTTTCTGGCAGAAAATAAGATGGTTAAAGTCGACACGAACATTTCCTATATATCAACTGGGTTTGCAATTCTTTTTAAAATCAAGTGCAGTTCCTTTTGTGATCACTAAGTGGTGTCAGCTATAAGGACAGCGTCTGCAAGCTCCTGGGAAGTTCTCCTATTAACTGTTGTTTTAAAATTGTAGCAGAACTAAGAGGAGGACATCAGCAAAGACTGTAATGAATCTTTTCAGAGGTCATTTGCACCCTGCTAAGAGACTCTGCTCCAAAAGGACATGCCGCAAATCTTCAATGGGTTGTGGGTTTTGGGGGGTTTTCTTTTCAGTTTTGAAAGTTCTGAGAGGCTGACAATCAGAAATTAAATATTTGCTTGTGAATCTCCACTTCAAGGCTGGCAGTTTACTGTCTGACTTGTTCCTGAGTCTTGGTCCAGAGTCTATTGGAGCTGCTTAATAACTGTAAAAGGTCTGGCAAACCCCACAAGAACCATTTTTACGTTGATTTCACATTTTTATCAGGCCAGAATGCCCTTCCAGAAATTTTGCATGAAAATGCAACTATGAAAATAAGGAAAGGAAAACAAGATACCTCAAATGAAAAAGACAATAGTATGAAGCAAATGCAGTTTTGAAGACTGATAGGAATCAATTATTGAACCTACTCAAAAGCACATCCAAAATGTTTCTTAAGAGGCATATTGATACCTGAGCTGTTTCTGTGTTCAGACTAATTACCTCTTGGGAAGAGAAAAGGAACTGTAAGTGTGTAAGCACGTCTGAGAATTTTTTGTGTAAAGTTATGACTTGGGCCCACTGGCTTCCCCCAAACTATTTGCATGATTCAAGGCTGATCTGTGCAGCCATTCGACTGAAAGAAAACATTTTAATTGCAATCGTAGTCATTTGGAGTAGTAAGAACTTGCAAAAATGTAAGCCACCTCATCAGGAAGCAGAAATACGAAACACAGTTTACCAGTAGAAGTTTGATTAGCAAATGAGGTGTCACTGGCTGGCTGCCCCACTGTGCGGTGTGTGAGCCACCCGTGGGCTGAGGGTTTGGCTGGTTTCGGCAATATGATCACAACCCACAGAAAAAAGGGAAACACAGGAGTAACAATGACAAAGCAAAAATGCACAAAAACAATGGCTCAAACCAGCTGTGTCACCTATTTTAATGTCATCTCAAGTGAAGGTGGAGAGGAAGGCGTGTGCTTGTGGGACAGCAGCCCTGTCTTTCCTAGGGACAGGCCTGGGGAGGGATCATGGACCTCTGGAGATGGGGGCAACCTCAATGGAAGAAAGGGGAGACCAAAGCTCTGCTTTTTCTCTGAGGCAACATATGACCTAGGTCCTGGGTCTGGCCCTTGGCTTGCTCTGGTCTCCTTAACTTAGAAAAAGAGTTGTGTTACAGCACCAGCAGCAGCTCCTGGGTGTCCACTGACTTACACGAAGGGTGCAGACCTCTAACTGGGTCCTCTGAGTTGGGGACATTTGCACTACTGATTGCAGCATGATTACTGACCCAAACTCCTTTCCTAGAGCTCAGGTCAGGACCAGGGTGGCCTTTCATCCTGCAACTCACAGGCACTGCTCAGCTGGCTTAGAAATCTGTGTTTGGATTTAGGCACTTGTGAAAACCCAACCTTATGGAAAAGGTGCTTGTGAAAAACCCATTCCCCCTGTCTGTCTAGCAGCCCAGCCGGGAAATTGTCAGTTTCTGACTCTGACGTTTGTTGTCATGTCCCCCAAAAATTTTGTTATTCAGCTGATTGTCAGAGGGGCAGGAAGTTTTTATGAGGTCCCTCTTACTGTAGCTGAAGGGTGTGGGAATGTCCCTAGAGTAAGAGTGCAGTGAATAAAAAGGGGGAAGTCACACTCGAGGCATCAGTCGCTCTTTCGTCCCGCTGAGCGTACAGCTGAGATGATGATGGTCGCTTGCCTGCTCCTCTCCAGCATCTGGACCATTACATCAGGTAACTCCTGTCTGTCTGTCTGTGTGTCTGTGTCATTACTGTAATGGCCTTAGGGACCTCGGTGGCCCTGCCAGCCTTTTGCACTGCTGGATGCTACAGTCCTCATCTCTCACCCCCCTGGAGCAAGTCCCTAGGTGACACAACAATTGTGGCACTGCACACAACTGCAATGCTCAGTCTGCAATGCCTGGAGCTTCAGGCATGTCACTGCTGGTTGCGTTGACAGCATCTGCTGTTTAATTTACCACCAGTGCATTTATAAGCTCCGGAGAGATGTACAAATTTATTGCAACCGGCCAAACATTGCTTGTAGGTATCTGCTTAGGCCACCAAAAGTATGTGTGTGTGTTACGCTGGGTTTGTATTTAAAAATCATATATAAAAGGCTGACTTCGTTTCAAACTAGCTTTCATGATCATGATTTGTATTCTGCCTATGGCACAGCAAAATGACTGTTACAGCTTCACAGCTGGATTCTTGCTCTCTGGTGGAGATCTGCCTGACCATGCAGCGAAAACCTGAGAGCACTTTGTTGGGTGGGTTAGCCAAGTGTACCTCTGGGCACTGCAGACAGCCTCACTCCTCTTTAAAGCCTGCAAAGATATTTAGTGTTCTTATACATTGAATTATATGTCTTCAGTGATGCACCTGTCCTTGCTGATATCTTCCTCCCCCTGCTGATGTACACAAATAAACTTTGAAAACTATTACCCTAAGAGGACTGCGGAGCTGAGCTGTCAGACTGGGAGCATCCCTTTTCCTTGCCTGTACGCTTAACAGTTTTTTCACGGGTCTATAAATTGGAAGAGGAGACTATTTTTTCTTTTCCCTGGAGACCTTTAATACCATGGCATTTATGCTGTGGAAGTTTTCTGTCTGTGGGCCTTCAGCAAGGTCTCTTCAGCAGCTGCTTCCCAGCTGCATGGCCTCAAGCCTGAGATAGCAGGACAAACACAGTTTGCTTCTGGTCTCCCTACTTTGCTGTTTCCTTCTCGTTTTCTGTTCTCTTGCCAGTCTCTGACAAGCGTGAATGCACAGTGTAAAGTGAGACACATAATTTTTAGCAGTTTTACAGATTTCCTTCACTCTGCACCACAGAAGGGCTAAGCGAGAGGTAATGGCCTGATGTTTGTTTGGTCACTAGCACAGCTGAAACTTTAGGGAACCTCTCCGTGGGTGCCTGTGGCATAGCAGTCCTAACAGACAGAAATCAGTGACTCCCAGCACCAGAGCTGCCTTTCTCAGGGGTGCTCTCTGCAGCACAGGTATCAGGCTGGTGAGATGCCTCGTGTGAGAGGTGGCAGGTCCAGTAAAACTCTTGGAGTAGTTCTTTCAAGCTGCATTTTAAGTTTTTTCCCTGGATGTAGGGGCAGAGAAATCCTCCAGAGTTGCTCTGGTTGGAAGTGAGGGTGAAGGGCTGTGGGGGCCTCTGCTGGGGGTGGGCTGCAGACAAGTGTGAGAAATGCTGAGTGTGGCACCTGCTTCTCTCACAGCCTCTGTGCAGGTGATGAACAGAAGAGTCCAGTCGGTCCAGGCAGGGGGAAACGTTACTTTTTCATGCCAGTCAGTCACAAAAGAAGATGTGATACAGGTGACCTGGCAGAAGGAGACGGATGGGCCTGAAGACAACATAGCGACTTACAGTACAATGAAGGGCCAGAAGATAGCCAAGGGCTATGTCAGCCACGTGAGCTTCGCCCACAGCGAGTTACAAGCCTCGGCCATCTCCCTCCATGGAGTCACCCTCCAAGACGAAGGATGCTACAAATGCATCTTCAACACGTTTCCCTCGGGGGCTGTCACTGGCAGGATGTGTCTCAAGGTTTACGGTAAGGCATTGTAATTGTGTACAGACTTTCTTCTGAGGACCAAGTAATTTTCCCCGTGAAAAACCTTCCCTGACATTGCTACATTGCTATGGGAAAAGTGGCTCAGCTTCCTCTCTGGCTCTCTCCCCCTCTCTGGTTTTACCTCTGACTGGAAACCAGCGTCCAACATTTATTTAATTTTCTTCCCTTTCAAGTCAGCAACAGTGAGATTCAAAAGCTGATGTGCAACCCATGAACTTCCTCCAAGTTTCCCTAGTCCTGTGGTGACAGCTGGCTGGCCACAGCCATGAACCCTGCGCTCCTCTGCTTAATTTAACTGCTGCTCTCACATCCTAAGCCTGGAACTCAGGCAATTGTTTCCTTGGTCTGCATTTGGTCTTAAAAAAATCGCAAAGTATTCAAAAGGCAAAGAGGCACGATCAGGGTAGTTGAAAGATCATTTTGAAGCAATTGTAAAAAAGACAGTAGTTGTGCTGGGGTCAAGAAAAGGGCTCGTGAGATTTGCCACATGAATCTTGCACAAGTCAGCATTAACTATCTTAAAGAAGATAGTTGAAACAAATCACAAGTCAAGGTGGCAATATTTGTCACCTTCATACCTAATCATCAACTAGCAAATACAAGCTGAAATAAAGACAAATAGATGAACTCGACTGAAACAAGTGAAAAGCTGCTTATCTTTTGAGGAAGGCTGCTGCTTTGCTCCCTGTGAGAAAGCTGAGACATTAAACATGCTCTGAGGCCAACCTGTTGGCTCCTGACTTCCTCATGGAATACTCTGCTGTGAGGACATTGGCCAAAGATCATGTCCCATGTGAAGAATATCAGTGTCTGTGACCTGTCGCTGGTGATATGACCTCTGCAGATTATTTTGCTTATCCCTAGTACCTTCAGCTGACAGAGACACAGATCCATGTGTCCACACACATGTGTCTGGAGTCCTCTGTGTGGAGAAAAGATGCTCCTGGATTATAGGGGAAAGGTGGAGGGAAATACATGGGAAAATCAAGTCTGGAACAAAAGTGCTTTTTCCCTTCTTTTGGGAAAACTCCTAGACCAGAAAAGACAAATGACAATAAATTCATACAATATTTTATACATGAAGAGGAAGGTGTTTCTTAAAGACACCCAGCTCTGAGTCACTTGGAGGGTAAACACTGGCTATGCATTACAGGAAAAACATGGAAGTGCCTTGCAGCGGGATCCCATTCTTCTTTATCATGTAAATTGAACACAAAATTAGATTTCTTTTGTTTCTGTTTTTGGTTTGGGTTTTTTTTTTTATCCAAGTGGGGGAATTTCTTACCAAAACCACCAGCCTTGTGGCTCTGGTTCATCCTTCACCTGAGTACTACTTCAAAAAAAAGAAGTTGTTTTTCTGCTGCCACACACACACTCATGCAAGCGTCTTTTCCTGCATCTCAGATGAAAATGTATCAACTGAGAAGGGTTTCAGTTCTCTTATGGCCTTGTGGGCCACTGCCAGGGGCTGCCTCATGGGGATCATGGTGGCCTTCCTGGAACGTGCTGCATCAAACTTGTCCCTGGGGAGGTCAGCACGAACAATCTGAGTATTTGGCACTGTGACAGAAGATTTTGGTTCATATATGGTATCTTTCATTGAAGCTAATGCATGTGATGCTACTTAAAAGCTATGGTCTTGCTCCCTTATCCCCTTACTCATAATGATGGAAACAACTTGTCTGAACAAGTCCAGAGCGTGCCCCATGATGGAGTGTGAAGCCAGTAGGAATCTCCCAAGGCTCAGGGGCACAGGGCAAAGTAAGCAAGCCAGAGTCACCAGCTGAAAATGAAATGCTGCCATGTCTTTGCCCTCAAGAGGGGACTGCCAGGGAGTTTACAAGCTGGTAATTGCCCTATTACACAGCCCTCACAAGAGAGGCTGTTCCGGGATGGGCACTATCGCTGTGTGGTAAGGGGAAGTGAAACCCTGTAAGAACTGGATATAACACTGTGAAAAAAGAAACAGGTATGACTAGAGGGATCTCAGACTTGCCTGTTGGGAACAGCAAACCCAGGAAGAAGCAGAAATTTCTTAACCCTTTAGCATAATCCATTTTGGAATAGAACAGTTTCAATCATGCTTGATTGGTCTCTTTTGAACAGTCTGTTCCCCTTCCCCTTCCACTTTACTTTGGAAATGTTTTGTCAACCTTCATTGCCAAAGAGTATTAGAATGAAATCCAGGAACAGGATTGAGGGAGCGGGTGTGGAGAAAGAGGCATGTGACACACGAGAATGGGCAAGACTTGCTGGGTCAGAAAATTCCCTGGGCATTTGCTGGGCCATCTTCAGAGACTTGCCTTTATCATAGACACCACCATTTGCCTGGAAGCCTTGAGCATACTGGAGAAATGCCATCACTCTTTCTTAGACAGGGAAACTGAGGCACAGGGCTGCTAGTGAACAGCCATAGGGTTGGAAAAGGCTTGATGTCATCACAAGGCATACTATAATGCCTATAATCTTTTATCAGTCTCTATGACACCACTGTCAAGAGTTTTTAAACATAAAAAGCAAATCATGAGCTGACAGTCTCCCTCTAATTACAGAAGCCATTACAGATAATCAAAGTGATGTACCTCATTAGAAACTCCCTTTTTCAAATATTTGAGAATGCTGACAGAGCTCGAATTTGGGAACATCTGCATTACTTCTCTTCAAGAGCAACTAAAGCAAGTACTTGCACACAACCTTTTTTGCAAAGACTTTTTCACTGGAAACAAATATTTTAACGAAAGGCAAAAGAAGCAGTTAGTTTAAGTGTGTGTATCAAACATCAACAGCGGGCACACAGTAACAAACAGTATAGCGGGACTTTAATGCAAAAGCAAGCACTTACAGGTTTTGAGAGTGCATCTATTACAGACATTTGCTAGCGAGAAGTTTGGCCCTGCAGGAAAATGCTTTGAAGTCCAACGTGAGAAGAAAGAGAACTGCTTAGTCTGGAGAAGAGCAGGCATGGAGTGCGCGTGTTTCTGGCAAGATACTAAGCAATTTTGCTCATCCTCTATGGAAACATCTGTGACTACTCTCTTTGACTGCTTTTGAATTTTGCAACCTAATGTTTGAATGCTGTGCTAATGCTGGGGGTGGATATGTTATTTTTATGCATCCCGTGAGTGAAAGAAGAAGTTCAGAGATCGTTTATTAGTTGAAACATAAACTGTTTGTGACACTAGTCTTTTCATACATAGGAGATTTTGAGAAGTTCCAGCTGAAATCCCCCTACACACTTTCCTTGTTGCTCTCAGAGGTTTCAGCAGCCCTGTGGGGTTTGAGTTTCTGTCTATTGGTCATACAAAAAATGAGAAATACACACTTATTTTTCCTAGGCAGCCACGACCATAGTAAATGAATGAGGTCGGGCTTTATTTAGTCCTGTGATCCACAACTCTACACACCTCTAACAGCAGTAAAGCTAATCCTGCAGGTAAGTTTAAGGGAAAAGAACAAGAATTTTAACTCATTCAAGTAGATCAGCTCTTCCAGAGAGAGGAAGATGTATAGTTTCATGGTTTCACTACCTACTGATTTTAACCCATCCATAATCACCACTTCTCAGCTGGGATGCTGCAGTGCAGCTATTAATAACAGAATTGAAACACAGATGTTTCTGCCCCTTACCCTTTATTTTTGTCTAGCTCTTCACTTCTACACTGCTGCCTGATCACTTTCATGTTTATTTGTCACTGCTGGGGCTTTGGGGGGCGGGGGGGGAAGTAAGATGAGATATCAAGCTTGTCCTCCAAGATAATTGTAAATACAGATGCTGGGCAGAAACTAATGCATTTTGTCATTTTGTCGTTTACAGCCATCTTGGACCCCAAAGTGGAAGCTAAACTTATACCCAATCCAGATAAAGCTGAGGACTCTGAGAAAGTGGTGGGGATAAGCTGCTCAGCAACAGGGAAACCGGCTCCAAAAATAACCTGGCACCTTCCCAGCATCCTGCAGCAGAAGCCAAGGGAATATCACATCAAGTTCAGCAACCAGACCGTGACTGTCATCAGCAATTTCACCCACACTCCCTCCAAAATCCTCCATGAGTACCCCATCGCCTGTGTGATCCAACACCCTTCTCTAAATGTGACCCTGGTCCTGCCCAGGGACAGCCTGGAGCAAGGTAAGTGTGTAACTCTGCTCCTGCTCTGAAGTGGGGTGGAGAAACACTCCCTGGGATAGACCACAAAACTACTCAGAGGGTTGGGGACAGGTGGGGAAGGCATCCTGAAGAGCAGCCAGGACTGGGCTTGGGAGTGATGGAGGAGGTGCCTGGGAACATCCAGATGCCCTGGGCTATGGCATACAATGTCTTACTCCTCCCTAGGTCCCCCTATATGCCATGATGTGCCCCAGTCTCCCTTCCTCTGTGACGGGTTTCCATGTCACATAGCCTGACACACCAACAAGACGTGCCAGTGTTGGGTAGCTTGGGGGGCTGGGTTCCTCACACCTGATCATGACATCAGACCCCGAGCATAGGTCTGCTGGCACTGCTGCTTGTGTGTGTCATGCTGGCATGTGGTCCCAGTGCTCCTATTCACCCCATCTCACCTGAGGGAATGGCCAAGGGATGTTTGAAATGGGTTTGGGGCTGGTTTTTACTTTTTTTTACTGAGTACCTGTTGCCTTCCCCACAGGTCCGGACAGCACCGTGGCACCCACTATTGCCATTGCAGTGGGAGTACTGGTCCCCCTGACTTCCCTCCTCCTTCTCACCTGTCTCCTCTGCCACTGCCTCAGGCACTCACGTGACCTGGAGATAAACCCAGCCTGGCCATGCTGGGTAGGTCTGCCTTTCCCCAGGGTGCAGCAGGGCTCAACCCCACCTTCACGGGGCTCAGTACCATGATCCAGCTCTGCCCAGCCACACCAGAGCTGCCTACACACTGCTCAGCCCAGGCTGCTCCTGGGCTGGAGAGGGACACAGGGAGCAGCCCCCAGCCAGAGAGCTGGGCAGCAGCACGCTGGGAAGGCGAAACCTGATTCTGCATAGCCAGGCCGTATGCACCTGACAGCGCTGGCAGCTAGAAAATATTCACTGTGTCAATGACAAGGCACGCTGTGGCAGAAGAGTCACTCTACTACTATATTTATGCACAGAATAGTTGTGCAAGCAGTGGTCAGACCCTTGGGCCATTCTTCTGCAGCTCCTAAAATAACCTCCCTCAGCACTCCTAGCGTAGCTCACAAAGGCAGCAGCTTTGAGGATGTGTCTCAAACAAAATGGGGTCTTAGAGGAAAACTGTGCCTCTGTGAGGAAAGCCCAGGGTGCCATGCTGTGGTAGGGGCTGAGGCACTGCTGGTTGTCCACCGAGGCCATCCTGATGATGACGGGTGCAAGCTTGAGGTGAGGGGTCCACTGAGTGAGGTGGCATCGTTTCAGAAAATCACAGCCCGGTTTTGAGAAGGTTCCTCCTCCTCCTTGCAGGATATGCCTAGCCTGTACACCCCGACTTTTGATAAGCATTTTGGACAAAAAGAAGCAGTGGAGGAAATACAATACATGTCTTCCATGGGCATTATGCCCGTGGGTCTAAGCTAAAGACTGCTGGTGGGATTGCAAGGGGAAACCTTAAGGTTCTGCTCACACAGAGAGATGCAAGAACCCATTTGACAATACATATAGCCAGGATCTTTACCCTTGCACTTCAAACACCCATGTATTTTTAAGAAATAAACAAAACAACCTCTCTTCCATCAGGTACTTCCTGCCTGTAGCAAGGCCAAGAAGTGCAGGCAGTATGGAGCTGCAGGCAGGTGGGATCCTGTGGTGTCCCCCAGCCCCAGTGCACCACTGAACACCTGAGAAACTACCCACACTACACATGCAAGAGGGAAACTCTTACAACGGCACCTCAAGCTTCCAGGCAAACCTGCTGTGACTCTTTCCAAGAGTAATACAGAAAAGGACAATTTATAATAGATATTTATTTATTTTGTTACACTATAATATTCCGTTTTGTAGGAAAAAAGACGTAAAGTATTTATTTGAGATTCAGGCTGGATGTGTGGATCCACTTAATGAAACTTGTTCTTCATATTTTCTGGGAGTTTGAACATTACGTTTATTCCTTTTCGATATTTTAACGTTGCAAGCTCAAAAGGAGGTGGGGGAATTGTCTGAAACAGGGCAGCATTTTGTAGGGCTGTTGGCCTGGGAAGTGCTGCTGATGGGCCAGAGGAGACCTCTGCAAGGAGCTGGGCTGCAGAAAACCCATGGAGCAGCCCAGCACACTGCTGTGAGCTTCAAGTGTTGAACTTGTTCCCCAAAGGGCACAAGAGATCGGGCCAAGACTGCAGCCAGCCTGAACTTGCAACCCAGGCACCAGGAGCAACAGGCTTTAAGCCAAGAGTCATCAGACATGTGGAAGTGCCAACTCTGACTTCCACCAGCCTTTCCTGGAAAGTAAAGCAAAAGCAAAAGGCACAAATATGTTTTCTTCTCCCCTCTTCTTCAGTGGTTTCCACAGCCCCCTTCGTAATTTCCCTGATCCACCACAGCTGCCTTGTGTTTCCAGGCAGCCCACCCACCTGCAGGAGGAAGCAGGGCAATAAAAGAGCAGTTGGAGGGGTAGTAGGGCTGCTTGGTGTGGTTTGTTTTTTGTTCTGCTGTAGCGGCAATTGAGTGCACTGGGATGCAGGTGGCTGCTAGGCGTGAGGAGGTGGGTGCTGCATATGGGCAGATATACACAATGACAGGGCAACAAGTGTTACCTATGGTGAAAATTCTTTGCTTATAGCCTGTAGGTCAGCTCTGAGCTGTAATCTCCTGTAATTCTCTGAGTTGCACTATATGCTCATGAAACGTTATAGACCCAGGGAAGGAGAAATGAGACCACCTGGCTGATGTTGGGCTTGTGGGGACCATGAAGACTGCAAGTGCAGGATTTTTCCTCTCTTTCTGGCTTCCTGGAGCAAGTGCATGTCATCTGGTTTTTCCTCATCCATCTATTTCAAAAGGGCATCCCAGATGAATCAGACTGAGTTGTAGTCAAAAAGCCAAGTAACCTAAAATGAAACCAAGTGGGTGAGTTGAGAATGAATAAATCTGGTCCTTGCCATAAAATGCTTTTTTAGGCTCCCTGACACTTAGTAATAGAGCAGCTGGTGAGTGAGGGGAAAGGGGAACTGGTTGCAGCTGTCACAATTTGGATTTTTTCTCCTGAGCTCCCTAATTTTCAAAGGAGGAAGCAATGTTTTTTCCAAATTTTTCCATCATTGCAGCTTTATTTCTTCCTCTGCCAGGGATGAGGCCAGGGGAGAAGCAGGTTTTACCCCTGGGTTTCTGGAGAACAGGAAGGGGGTGAGAGCCCCTGGCACCCCTCCTGAGCAGGCTCTGCAGCCTCAGCCTGCATTCTGCACAGTCTGCACTTGCAATTTAGAGAGGCTTACTTGAGTTTGAACATAGGGTTTCTGCTACTGTTTAGACTAAGAGGTCCTTAAAAGAAAAGAAAAAAGAGAGAAAGGATTCTCTCAGAGAAACAGGGAGTCTGGACATAGGTAATTAAAACGATTTTCTGAGGGAAGGAAGAAAGGAACGAAGTTGCAAAGAAACCTTTTCAAACCCAGGAAGACAGCATAGATTACCTACTATTCTTTTCTACAAGCTGATCACCTGGAGTGGGGGAAAGGAGGGTTTGGAGTCATGAAAGTATCTGTTTATCTGTGGGATTGCAATTTCTTTTGCTTTTTAGCTGAAAGCTGAATTGTGAGAAGCTTTTGTGGCATGATAGGTCCAGAGACTGAGCAAAAGGGAGGGATGAGGCGGTTTACCCATAAGCAAAATTCTGTACGAGATTTATTTTTCTTTCACAATATTGGAATGAGAACAGCAAATGACATCCAAAGGCAGAACACTTAAAACCAATACATGTATTTACCTTCATGCTATACAAAGCCACCTACTAAGATACAGTGCCAAAAATGCTGTATGCTAGTGCAGTGGAGTTTGGCTTCACATAGCAACAAACTGAATGCAAGCATACAGACTATGGATAATTAACTAGCTCTTAGCTGTCGGGGGGGGGGGAAGAAGAGTATGAAATAAAGACAAACAAGCACATGACTGAGGAGATCAGAAGGAGTTTGTCTCTTTTGGGACTGGACAGTTGTTGGTCTCGCCTAACTCTGCCTTTGGCCACCTCTTGTCACTGCCACTTGTCCAGCCCAGGGCAACAGTGGTGTCGACGCAGGGCATAATTTCTCCTAACAGCTGGAAAGAAGGCAAGTGAGAACTTCACCCTCCTGTTTGCCTCTTACATGGGTAAAATTGGCTCTGGGTAACGTGTTTCTCTTCATAAAGCAAATTTAGCCTGCACCTCTCAGCTCTGGGATCCTTTGATCTTGACATTAACCAGTTTGGGTTAAGGTTTTAACTCATGTAAGGAGTGTCCTTTTTAACTGATGGTATACTATATCTATCTATATATATATGTATATATATATATATGTTGATATATAATGAAGGGTCCTCAGGCTGCATAAAATGCCCATGTTCCTGTTTTGGCATGTCAGGCTATTTCAAAAATGTATTGTGTTGGTATTTTTCTCTGCCCAGGTACTGGGTTCCTGGTTCTAAGAGAGCAGTAAGGTGCAAATGAATTGCCCCAACAGCTCTGGCTGAAGATGTGACTTTGAAATGTAGCTGAAATGCTGGCCTTAGATATTTTACAAGTCATGGCTGAAATAGGAAGAATATTCTTCTTCTGAAACCACTGCTGGCAGTGGGTTGAGACTAAATTCATACAGTGAAAAGGAACTTTGTTTTGGGACTAAATTCATATAGTGAAAACAAACCTTATTTTGATGATAGAAGTTTGAAAGCATCATTCATGAATTTTCTATTGCATGACCCTAGGGGAACGATTCATCTAAATAACACGCCAGTAAATTTTCCTATGAACTCAGAAATGGAAGAAAATATGACCTATTGTTTTTCATTCAGTTTTCAGCACTTGAGCCCTGGAAATAGCTGAAACAAGAGAATTGCACTAATTGAGTATATTTTTCTTTCATAAATAAGACTATCAAACCAGGCAGACACAAACCAAGTATATTTTTGTTTTCACTCTCAGTGTACAAGTAATTACTCACATTTTGGAAGCCATACAAAGGGCTTTTTGATATCTCTGCTTCTTTCATCTTTGCACATATAAAGCTATGTGTGAAAGGAGTGCTGAACTCTTGTCCAAGTGTTTGTGGACAAGAGTTTGGTTTGTGGACTCTGTTGTAGTCTGCTCAGCTTTGAAAAAAGCCACCTGAAATTTCTGGGAAGACTGAGGGAATCCTCAGCCTAAAACCCATACACAATATAAACAGAGTTCTGAGTTCTCTACCTTGTCAGAAGCTGTGGTCTTTAACCACCCTAAAGAAAAAGGAGGAAAAGGAAGCTTTTCTAGTAAAACAGCACTTGAAATTATACATGAAGGACTAAGATGCAATGAAAAGTTAGCAGAAAAATAAACCCTAAACTTTTAGTCAAAAAAAGTTAATTTTTTTCAATCAGAATATTTTATTTGATATTTTCCCTCAAATAAATTACAGAAAGTCCAGTGTTTCATCATAAACACCCAGGCTTACATTTTAGATTTAAAGAAATCAGTCTCCCCTGAGCCTTCCTTGTCTACAGGAATGTAGCTATTTTCATAAGTGAGATTGTGGTGGATTTCAATAACAAGAAATATCATTGTTTGCTGCAGGTTTTTCTCTAAATACCAGAACCTATACACAAAGAGGAGAAAAGGGAGAATGAAAATCTTTGCATACCTACTTTAGAATGGTCTAATTTTAAGGGTGTTAAATGTACGCTGTCTACTTTCTAGGATTTATCAGTAGAAACAAGGTGTCAGTTCTCTATTCAGTACTTCAGTATTTATGTATATAAATTCAACATTTCTTTCTGAAAATCTGCATTATAACAATTTCTGACCACATCAAGACAATCAGAAAACATTCCTTGAAGTCTAGCTCAAGGCTGCATAGGGAAACCAAGACTTTGCTGCATCACCAAGAGAAAGTGCTGAGCTCCCTGCAGGCTCCTCTGGGGTGGAAACCTTCTGACTGGGATGCAAAACAAAAGCAGATGAAATCCTGGGTCACAGGTAATAACATCCCAAACTGAAGGGGTGTGATGTACCAGGCTCTCCAGTAGGCTCTGGCCCAGCAGAAGGATCTTGTGGTCACTATGTAGTTTTAACTCCTCTGCTCTCAGATTTGTGGCTCTGTATCATTCTGCTGTGGAACTGGCAGACATGGGTTGGGAAGCAGGCTTGGAAAAACTGAAGCCAGAGGCCACCAGTCATCAGTAGGGGGACAGATGTTTTTCCTGACAGGTGAGTGAGAAGATCTGGGACCCTCTATTTGATTCTCTACAGCTTCCTTCATTCCCTTCTCACATTTATTCCTCCTTTGCTCTTCTTCTTGTCCATAGGATCCAGACCTGATGAACTATCAATCAGTGCAATACCTCTGCCACAAACAACAAGTCTGTCCTTTGCTTTGCCGTTGCTTTGACCCAGCCACCTCATTTGTCTCTCCTGGTTGGTCTGAGGTTGTTTCCTCTCCCTGATGTTATTCTGTCTCATCATACCTTTGAAGATGCTGTCCTCCTGCCTGGATCACCTCTACCCTGCTGGGCACCTCTTGTTCTTCTCCATCTAGTGTTGTCATAGGGCTGATCTGGCAAGTGGGACCTAGGGATGGAGGAGGGAAGGAAAGATCAGAGCAAAAGGGCACACGCAGAGCCTGAAGATGGGGGAAGGGTTTGCCTCTCTAAATGGAGTCAAATGCAGGAATAATTTTCACAGGAAATCTCTCAAGTTGGCAATTTGTTAGAAAATGGATTATTAGGCCTTTTGCTACTTCCAGGAGTGACACTTCTCACAAGATTAGTTTCGCATTGAGACCATTACCTGGGATCTGTACCTCTCTGTGGCCTCTCTTCTGTAGGCATTAGCAGACTAATTGGCTTGAGGTGTTTGCCCAGTTTTGCAACCGAACCACATGTGCCAA